TATAATATTAACTATTACCTAGATATTAGTAGTATAGATTAACGCTAATTAGCTAGAATAACTATAGCTAATTTGCTATAGATCTACTAGATCTATAGGGATATTACGTAGTAGATTTACTATATAATCCTATAATAGTTTTTTTTCCTTTATGTATAATTTAGAACTAGTATTTACCCCTATTATTTGTCACTTGCCTATTAATACGTATGGTTAACCGTATTACCACCCTGGTGAAACCAACACTAGAATTGCCATTTGCATGTTGTATTTTTCATGAATGTCAAACACTATTTTGGATTTGGATTTATCAGTCATATATTCAGTGCACCCCTAGCTTTAACAAAGCTTGTACTGTAATTCATCTTTTATTTGGGCATCAAACTCCTACCCTGGGATTCACGCCAGCGCGCGAAGAATCTCAGTCCGCTGCTTATTGATTATTTGGCCCCCAACCACTTATCTACGTAATGATGGTACCCAGCCGCCGGAAACAAGTTTGGTTCCACATTATACAAGCAAATGCTTTGGCATGATGAAATAAATGACGATGTCAATGATGTTTATACAACCAGGGACTTGCTGTTTCACGTAAGAGACAATCTGGCTTCAGCCATATCAACTATCATTAAAGACCGATTTGCTATAAGTTAAACTAGAGTCGGATTCGACCACTAATCAGGAGGAAGCTGGATATCGTTCCCATACCGGCCATGCTTTTGTAGTACTAGCTGTAAAATCTAACTCGTAATTCGCCTGTCATGTTTGAAACACAAGCTCTTTTTGAGTGAGGCAAGCCGCAACACAGCCACTGATTACAACCTATCGAGTAATCTTCATCTGTCCGAGATTCTGTAACCCTTCCGCTGCTGTCCGCGTTATCTTACCCCCTTGCCAAGCCAGGTAGGTCCCGTCATTAGATATCTATAGCTCATCTGCCATGGGATGTGACTTTGTTCTTGCACCTTCTAAAAAGATACCCCCTAGTCTATAGGACTAGAAGGCAGTGTCAAGTGCGTGGGAACACCAACTACTATTCTCTCCCTACCTTCTCACACACCCTACACTCTCCTACTTTCTCTCCTTTGTTTCCCCTATACCCCCATACTCTTCTAACAATCATTAACACACTCCACTCTGCGGGCAGCGGCTAAAGGCCGCGACGCGGGTAATAGAGCACGGACAAACCTAACATGGATGTACAAATAGTACTGTACAACTGAACACATAGGTGTGCCCTATATGACCTAACTGCGCTAATACCGTAGGAAGGAAACATAGAGCACGCCGTACGGCACCTGGCAGCCGAAGAGCCCTTGGGCACTTGACGGCGCGGACGGTACTTTCAGGTTAAAACTCCTAGGCAAGGTCGGCGATGGAACATACACGATAGGCCGCTTGGACGATGGATGAGTGCTGTGTATATTATTCCTAGAAGCTGGCTACTCTAGGCGCCCTTTGTCCTCTTACAGGAACGTTTCAGGCGTTAAATATTACAACAACAACAACAACAACAACAACAACTATAGCTCATCTGGGCCTCCTATAGTAGGAGCTGTTTGGATCACTGTGGGTCAGGAGACGGTATCCAGTTTAGTAGTTTCTTAGCGGCTGTGTCTGGCGAGTAACAAGCCAGGGGCTGCCCGAGGCACATCTCAGGATATTCGGAACGTATCTTCTTCCGTATACGTAGACCAGATGTGGCTAGCATGTTTGACATACCGTTGGAACTGCCATCAGGGGCAAAGTCTTACGCAGTCCCAAGTACTCTACAGATACGAAGTATTGGCGCGGCAGAGGTCTGTGGAACGAGGGATAGTTAGGTAGGGGCCATGCTCCGCCACTTATGGCATGAGGCTTATGTGTAAATAGAAAAAAGATGAACCAACCTACCGGCTGTAGGTTCAGGTTTTACTAACATAGGTACGAATGGTTGGACTGCACGGAATTCCGGATAGGTTCATGCCGCTTGCCTACAAAACGCAGAGGAGGTAGATCAAGGTGCAGGAGGGATCTCTGGGCTCTTTATGCGGCCATAAGACCAGGCAGTCATCGTGGCCTGCACTCATGTCGAGCCAGAGAGATCCTGAATTCTGTGTGCGATGGCCGCGGATGGGCTATCAGCCCTGGTATCCCGAACAGTGTGAGTGGGAAGCAGAACTTGGCAGTGCCACACTGCCAAGTCCGAAGCCTCTGATCATGCTTGGCTTCAGGGGCGGAAACACACAAGATACGAGGTTTTCAAGCAAGGCCAGGACCAGCACTTGATCATGCAGAAATCAAGACAGTGACTGCTAGCTACTATGTATGCACAAATACCAATTACAGCTTTATGCACATCTCTGGATCAGGATCCAGCTAATTACACAAGAAGCCATCAATCAGTGGGTAACTGATCCACAGCATTCTCTGGAAAGATGCACTCGCAGAAAAGTCTCAGCGAAGGAATCAGCGGTTTGCGTACGCGAGACTGTCTGGCATATACAAGCGAACTCTTTGCAGAACCCTCAAGACAACAGAGAGCCTTCCCGTTTGTATTCTGCGTATGTAATTATTGTACGGGTATGTTGTTTACTTTGGGAGGAGCCTGACTCGCGCAAGTGAAGCACAGGAGCACTCCGTCGGCACGTCCTGCGGGTGATTTCGGTCAAGTTGAGAGACCAGGGAATACCGCCGAGAAAGATTCCGCGTTCGAGCGGAAAGGCTTTGGAAGTCTACGCGGCTAATGGTGTAGAATGAAAAATCCTCAAATGTCGTTCCCTCGTGTCCCCCGCCGGCCCTTGTCAAGGGGCCGGGCTACCTTAAAGCCGACCCAAGCTAGGGCGGAGGGTTGCAGTGCGGACGGGGCCCCAGATGAGGTCACTGGCCACTGGAGGAACGACCCTGGCGAAATAACCTTAATGCTTAACCCAAACTCTGTTGTTCTGACCTCTAATTTCGTCAACGCCCCCTTCGCCTCCCAGGGCTTCCAAGCCGTCCGTTCAGCGCCGCGAAACCTCGGAACCGTACCGAACTCCTTCTTTCGCCCCGAAGAACCCTTGCCCTCACCTACTAGCGAGCGGAGCCTGGTTTGATTGTGCTTGGAGCCTCCCTGTTTTCTGCTCGCTTTGCCATGTTGGGGCTGCAGCTCTTACAGGGGCTTTATCTTGGCGGGGGTTTCGGGTGGCTCAACATGAAGGAAATGCCAGCTCCTCATACGCACTAAGAGCTTGGAACTTTGGCAAGCTCCCTTTCCAGCATCTGGTACCGGTAGTTACATTAGTGCTGTGACCTGCCCCTTGAACGCCACACACACATACACCCCTGCTCATCCTTTGTCTCTTCCACACCCAGATGGCCAGATTAGGTGCTGCTGACATGTGTCAGGTGTCGTTCGTGGGGGACTGCCTGTGGAGAAGAAAACATTTCTGTACGGCTTCGGGGTTCCTATCGAGACTATGACTTTTTCTTCTCGCATTGTGTGACTGACCAGCTCGGGAATTGCCCCAAGAATCACGCTTGCCACGTAATGTTATCTGCTATACCGAACCCCAATGTCGCCGTCGTGGTACAAAGCACAATGCACGCATACACTCAGGTCCATCGTTCCCGAGTGCTTCTCGTCCTCTGCGCTTCCAAGAATCAGCATCACATCCCACAGCCGTGATCCTCCCGCGATCACCACAACAACCAGGCCACCTATTCAGCTCCCCAACCGTCTGACGATATCAAGTTTCATGTCCCAGCCCAAGTCCGCGCAGAGCCATAAACCCTCCTTCTCACCGACGGCAGGATCCAGTTCCGGTCTACCTCTTATCATCTAAAAGGGGCCCTTGTCAGCCAAGACGACCACCCCTGACAGTCACAAGCGTCCAAAGTATGCGAACTAGGCCTCAACTCCGTACATGCCTGGCCTTTACCTCGACCTAACTTGTCAGTTGAGATTCAGCCCTGGCCAAACTCCCCTGCAAGGGCCGCAAAGCCAAAACAGACAGGCTATTCCTTGCTCTTCATCCCTTCTCCCAGAATCGTCCCATCACTCTCATGATGGCATCGCTACGTTTGATCCCGCTCCGACCCCGGACAGACTCCCAAGGTGGCTTGGGAGTGACCTTGTATCCCGTCCTCGCTACCGCTTTCGTCGCGCACATCTCGCCTGCAGTGTTAGTGACCCAAAGTCGGACTTTGTATCTTCTCAAACACTCCCACTGGAGCCGCTCCACGGAGGACGTCTCCTTCACACCAGACTCCAACACGCCCTTGCCCAGCCCGCTCAGTCCTGAGAAAGGTCCGGATGGACAGGTCCACACCTACCCAGTGCCATCCGATCTTCCGGGTGCCGGCTTTTGCGGCTCATGCTGGTCAGCCAAGACAACCAAACGAACCAGATCCCTCCCGATATAATGACTTCCCCCCTTCCCTCTCGTAGTCTATGGTGACCAGCAGGACTGACTTCATATACGCGCCCTCCTTCATTCATTCGTTTCTTTACAGCACTAGGCGACCAGTCTCGCCCAGCTCGCTGTCGTTTGTTTATTTCGTTTCATTCTTCCAGAGACCGGTATCTCCACTTCGATCAGAGGCGAGCCTCATACGTTCCTTTATTCCTTCTTGTGTGTCTTACCTTCCTTTTCTCTTACCGACCACGACCCTTCGAGCTTTCTACACGACCCCGGTTCCTGTTAGACCGACACGATGCTTTCGCGATACGGAGTCCTGACGTGGCTCGCCTTCTCGACGTTGGCGGCCGCCGGGAAGCAGGAGTGCGAGGCCATAACCGAGACCGTCCACGTCCCTACCACGATCCGCGAGACCGTTCATGTCACCATGCCGGGGGAAAAAGAAACAGTTCATGTGACGGTTCCAACCACGATCCACAAGACTATACCTGTTACAGTCAGCGAAGTCAAGACCATCCACCAAACCGTCACGACAACCGTCAAAGAGACGGTCCACGTCACCCAACCGCCTCAGACCGTCAAGGAGACAGTTCATGTTACCCAGCCGCCCAAGACCGTCAAGGAGACAGTGCACGTTACTGAACCGCCCAAGACCGTCAAGGAGACGGTCCACATCACCGAACCGCCGAAGACTGTTAAGGAGACTGTCCACGTTACGTTGCCTCCTGTAAAGGAGACAGTGCACGTCACTGAACCGCCCAAGACCGTCAAGGAGACGGTCCACGTTACGTTGCCTCCTGTAAAGGAGACGGTCCACATCACCGAACCGCCGAAGACTGTTAAGGAGACAGTGCACATCACCGAACCGCCGAAGACTGTTAAGGAGACAGTGCACATCACTGAACCGCCCAAGACCGTCAAGGAGACAGTGCACATCACTGAACCGCCGAAGACTGTTAAGGAGACAGTCCACGTCACTCAACCGCCGCAAACTGTCAAGGAGACAGTCCACGTGACGTTGCCTCCTCAGACAGTCCATGTTACTCAACCGCCGCAGACCGTCAAGGAAACCGTCCATGTTACCTTGCCTCCTGTAAAGGAAACAGTCCACGTCACTCAGCCACCACAGACTGTTAAGGAGACGGTCCATGTGACGCTTCCTCCTCAGACGGTGAAGGAGACGGTCCACGTCACTCAGCCACCTCAGGTTGTCACGCAACCACCCCAGATTGTCAAGGAAACAGTCCACGTGACGCTACCTCCCCAGACTGTGAAGGAGACTATCCACGTTACTCAGCCTCCCCAGGTGGTTAAGGAGACTATTAACGTTACGTTGCCTCCTCAGACTGTGAAGGAGACAGTTCATGTCACTCAGCCGCCTCAGGTTGTCACACAGCCACCTCAGATTGTCAAGGAGACAGTCCATGTTACACTGCCTCCCCAGATTGTTAAGGAGACTGTCAAGGAGACAATTCATGTCACTCAGCCTCCCCAAGTTCTTACGCAAGCACCTCAGATTGTCAAGGAGACAGTTCATGTCACACTGCCTCCTCAGACTGTTAAGGAGACCGTTCACATTACTGAGCCAGCCCAAGTTGTCACTCAAGCGCCTCAGATCGTCAAGGAGACAGTCCACGTCACGTTGCCTCCTCAGGTTGTCAAGGAGACTGTTAGGGAGACAGTTCATGTTACTGAGCCAGCCCAAGCTATCACTCAAGCGCCTCAGATTGTCAAGGAGACAGTTCACGTTACATTGCCTCCCCAGATTGTCACAGAGACTGTCAAGGAGACTGTCCATGTCACTCAGCCAGCCCAAGCTATCACTCAAGCGCCTCAGATCGTCAAGGAGACAGTCCACGTCACGTTACCTCCTCAGGTTGTCACAGAGACTGTCAAGGAGACTGTCAAGGAGACTGTTCATGTCACTCAGCCGGCTCAAGCTATCACTCAAGCGCCTCAGATTGTTAAGGAGACAGTTCACGTTACATTGCCTCCCCAGATTGTCAAGGAGACTGTTCACGTCACTCTGCCTCCCCACATTGTTAAGGAGACCGTCCATCTCACTCAAACATTGAGCCAATGCACTACAACTGTGGCAGCTCCCGTCATGGGCCACCAGACCTCTGCTCCACCCGCTGCCCACTCGATGCCGGCCCCTCCTCCTGCTCACCAGGTTGCTCCGCCTGAGAAGCACACAATGGCGCCGGCCAATCCCCACATGCCCGCCCCCCCGGCTCATACCCCCCCACCCCCAGCACCGGCGGCTCCCGTACATATGATGCCTCCTGCGGAGGCGGGCACCTCCTGCTCACCAGGCGCCGCCCGCAGAGGCCATGCCAGTACACACACCACCCGCCGAGGCCATGCCGGTGCACACACCACCCGCGGAGGCTATGCCGGTTCACACCCCCCCAGCGGTGGCGATGCCCGCCCACGAGCCCGCCCAGACGTCGGCCGCACCAGCAATGCCGACACATCCCATGAAGATGAGGTTCATGCGGCGCGCGTAACGCTGAGATGGGAAGGAGGTGATCTAAGATGGAAGAGGATGGATATAAGCCCTAGATGAAGGTGCAGATTACCCTCTGCGCGTATAACTTTCTTACATGTAATCTGAATATTAGATGGTAGCTATGACGCTGGGAGAAGTTTGATACCCTGCCAGCCGGCCTTGAATGGACCTTTTAATTACCCTGTGTTTTTGTATCGAGCCAACTGCTGCTTTATGAGGGTTGATGAGTGACTTAATAGCAGACCGCCGAGCAAAATTTGTGCTGCGCATGTCCCACAAGTCATCGGGCCATTTGCATCGTCATGAGCCATACATATACATGTGGTTCTTAAACGTCATCGGGGCTGCACGGCAATACACGGCTTGTCAAACCCTTTTTTTGGTTCCGCAGCGCTTGTGGTGGTTCCACGCAAGATAGGCACCTGAGGGTCTCGCAACGTGGAAGGACCTAGCATACTTCATAGTCTTGAGTCGTGGCTTTCATTATTGGGAATCTAGGCAGCTGTGCGTGCGTAAACCCGTACTGAGTTATCTACATCAATCATAAAATTACTAACACAAATGGCTCTCACAGCAGGTGAGTCACAAGCACTGACAGACCGGCCAGGGACATAAGCATTGCGGAGGCGGAGGGAGCGGATCCAGATGCCGGTACAGGCCTCGATGTGGTCGTGGGCGACGTACTGTTGGTTGAAGACTTTGTGGCATTGAACCGGGCGACGATGAACTCAACGGCTTCGTTGGTGTATTTTTTGAAGTAGGACCCGTGGACAGTGGTGTCGTTGCCGAGATCGCAGTAGATGTCTCCGGTGTCGCAGTAGGACTCGATCTTGGGAGCGTAGCCCTTGCACGCCGTGACGTTCTCGCGGGGGAAGAGCTGGAAGAGGAGAGTAAGGGTCAGCAGCCGCACTTGCACATACACAAACACCCTGAACCGAGCTTCAAAATCAAGGAAGGCGACTTACCCCGTCGTGGGTGCTGGTGCCCTTGTTCCAAGAGGCCGAGGTGTTGTGTGTTGGGTCCCCGAAGAGGATGGCGGCGATGACTGCGAGTTTGATCCTGTCAGCCCAAGATTCCTATTATCCCTTTTTCTTTCTAGAGGGAGATTCTAGGGCAAGAAGGCAAACCGACCACTGTGGTCTATCACAGACGCCGCCACGGGAGTCGTGAAGTTGAAGTCAAAGTCCATGTTGCCGCTCTTGAAATCCTCCGTGTTGCCACACAAGGTATCGCCTACAACTTGGGCGCCCTGGGGTTCGTGCGTGTCAGCTGGGGATCCCCGAAAACCTAATTCGAACCCGTCTTGAGCTTCGAATCCAGCCGCTCCCGCCTCGGCAAACTCACCTGGGAATAGCCCAGCAGTGCGATCTTGGAGTTTGGGCACTGCGAGCTATATTGCGTCAAGGCGATTTTCATGGCCTCGGCACCAGCCGCGACCGAGGTGGAGTAGTTGTCAAAAGTCGCGGGGTAGTTGATGGCCTCAATCTGCGACCCCGGGATGGATGCCACGACGCCATTGGCGACGGAGCCGATCCTACCGACCCCAGCGGGCTCGTTGCTGCCGCGAGCCACGATGAGGTGAATGCCGGTGGCGCAGGTGGCCGCCGAGTCCTGCGCAGAAGCGCTAGCAGTGAGGAAGCCGGCGACGGCGAAGGCAGTGGTGGTCCTCATCTTTATGGTTTGGGAAACTATGGATAGTGTCTTACAAGTTGTGGCTACTGCCGGGCGAGGGTTCGAGGGTCGGATCGTGGAAGGGTGAGAACTCGTAATCGTGGGCCAAGAGCTTCAGGCAGAATGCCCAGGGGAAGGCGAGGTATTTGAACGAATTGCCGGCGCATTACATTGCAAAATGACCACCATGATTACCCGCCAAGAAGGCAACAAAAATAACGATGGTTCCCTGTTTGGAAGGTCTCTAATCATTCCTCCTAAGCAGGACCGTACCACTCACCGCTGCATCTGGGTTCAACGACACGGCCTAGCCGGAGCAACGTGCTTCAATGAGCTGGGGAGGGTTGAGGTGAGGCATGATGTATGTGCGAATCGTCAAGGGCTATCCCAGGCGGCCCACATTGAAAGAAGAAAGATAAAGCCCGTTCCCAACGAACATACGCAATTGATATTCCGCCATATTTCATATACGCACATAAAGTTTGTCATCGGACAATCGGCATTGGTGCATGGGTCCATCGACGAGCTTCCGCGCCTGGTTAGTCCCTCGTCGTCCTGGCGAGGAGGTAACCTCAAATGGGAGAGCTAAACTGGGGGCTCGAGGATGCAATTCAACAGGCTTCGGCGTTAGTTCCAAATCAAGCACAAAAAGCATTACCCCGAGCCCGAGGCCTTTGGATTCTTTTGACGCGTGACGTTATGACTGTCTTCATATACCATTACCATTGGTCAATCAGACCCGCTTGATCGTGAGGGGAGATGCGAGCCTTGTGGACTTTCATTTGCGGGGTAGGAGAATAATCATCTATGGAGCTCCGCTCAACCCGGATTGCTAATTCCCCGGTTTGTAGGTGGTCATGCGTTGGATGAACCGAGGTTGTTAGTTATAGGGCGATCGAGGGCGGGTGGAGTGCAGCAAGACAATCTGATGCACTCCAGACACGAAGCATGGTGCTGTCGGAGGGATAGAAGACGTCCTTCTCAATTAGTACTTTTCCATCTTTTTTTCGGGAGCATTGCGGTCTTGGCTGCATACATTGCCAATAGCACATCGGCCAAATTAGGTGCCTTCTTATCTCGAGGCTTTGGGATGATGACTCTCACGAGTTAGGGCACACAGCGAATAGGGGTCATACTCTAGGTGCAGAGAAGCTTGATTGTAAGAAATGGGTTCCTAAGAGTGAGGGCCTATAGAAATACGAGTCCCGAGGGCCGAGGTCGGTCAGGTGACATCGCGTATGACGTGGCTGATACTGTCTGCCACGCCTATTCGTACCAAGACTGTTTTGCTGCTATCAGATCGCAGTCCGCATTCCCTTTCAAGACGAAAGTCTGGCGTTTGAGTAATGGTCCCCGGGCAACGCTACAACTGGAAAATGACATGACGATTTCTGTACGAAATCACAAATGTATATTTGGATAATAACCCACAAGCGTTACCAGCCTGATTGTTACCAAATCGGAAACAGAGACAAATATGAAATAAGCATAAAGTTGATATAATGCCGCAAAAACGACGCCGTTAATCGCAAGCAGCAATTAACGCCTAATATGTCCTGTGACATATAATGTACTGAACTGAACATAAAGGAACAGACCCGACGCGTAAGGCTCCGTATGCCCTATTGTAGCCTATATTCACGTCCAATGACGAATGACAATAGGGCTCAGTAAAATCATTGGATCCAAGCCGTGTAATACGCTTGGCAAACGATTGCCAAGCTCATAGCCGGCCAGTCGCTTCGTTTCAGATCCGGTGCGGTGTGCGATGGAAGGTCAAGTAAGGTCTCCAACCTCATAATTACAGTCAAATAATATTAGTGGTCGTCCTTGGCACCTCTTTTACCGAAACCGATGTCAAACGGCATGGGTGAGTGCCAAATCGTCCTTCATAGACCGTGAAATTCCTGTCATGCCCTTACTGAATCTGAAGGGGGGTTATGTCAGCACATTGGCAGTTGGCCTTGCTATTTTATTTCCCCGTGGCTGCTGAGACGCTGCTGTGGCGGCCCCTTATTCTGTATTGTCTGACAGTCGCCTGGGGGCCTTTTTGTCTGTTTTTAGACCTGCAGCTTGGTAGCCAGGTGGTGTTGAGATATTTTGCGTTGTTTCTCGGCGCAGGAGTCACATGACAAACTATCGTTATAGAGCTATCTGCCAATTACATAGGTACGATCCGGTAGACATGGTACACATCATCGCGCAGGACGCCCAGGAAATGCAATACACAGTGCCCCGATGCCAGCCTTCTGTCAGTCTTCATTTCTTCTACCCTCTTTTTCAGAATGTGTCACCAAATCGCCGACTTTTATAGTGCTTGCCGCTGCTTGTACTGCCAACACGTTATTGATCGTTGTCATAGCCATAGGACGCCGGGTTAAAAAACACACCATCCTTGTCGGCTATGCCTGTTACGACCACACCGATTATGCTTTTCATGACCACACCGGTACTTCTCACGATCATACCAGAAGGCCTTTTATTCTTCACTGCTATCTGAACAAAACATCTAAATGGGGCTGAGTTGGCCGATACGACATTATTCATCAATATATTCGGTAAAGATTTAGCAATTTGAGTAGGTTTCAAAGGAACAGATTCCCAATTCTACACCGGCCGGGAAGAAGCTTTGATCATCCTAAGAGCCCTTGCTTTGGTTGATCCGGCCGTATCCGTAGATGAGCTAAGTATCCAACTAAGTTTACCTGTCACTACCCATTCGTTCGGACGAATTTAGTCTTTTGAGGCTAAACCGAGCTGCCTCCTCATCGCCCCCTGTTGACATCGAAATGTTTGTCAACAAGTTTGATGACTTTATAGTTCGGTATGACACGCTCTCGCATACTTGGGGCGATGGTACGAAGAGCGATGCCATTGCCGCCAACGGCTACTCCCTGAGCATAACAAAAGACTTCCTAGTGGCTTTGCAGCACCTTAGACGACAAGACGAGGGCATCTTGCTTTGGGTTGACATTATCTGTATCAACCAAAAGGACACAGACGAAAGGGACGCATAAGTTGCTCAAATAGGCAAAATATTTAGTCAAGGAGACCAGGTGAGAATCTGGCTGGGTGCTGAGTCTCAAGCATCAGAAACAGAAATGCGAATGCTTTGAGCCCTTGATGGAGTCTAGTCGTCCAGGCAGGTTGTGCACAGCCTCGTCGCCGATGAAGACGCCACCAGGGCACTCACGCTTCTTTTGCAAAGACCCTATTGGACCCGTTTGTGGGGTTTCCAAGAAGTCATTCTTGCTTGAGAAGCAACCGTTCATTGAGGCTCGCTTTCGGCAAAATGGTCAACGCTACGAGCTTTGGACGATGCCACCGGTGATTCCACGTGGTAACAAAATCCACAAACCCGTAAAACATGGATAACGGGGTTTCGCAAGGCAGTCTTCGGAATCTCTCAATTCTTTATCAGCCCACCAGAAGCCCGGAAGACGACCATTAATGTTTGTATCCGACAAAGACTCTGCTATCGGCGGATCCCCGAGATCAACTGTTCGCATTGATAGGTATCAGTGACATGAGGTCTCTGTTGAAGGCTGATTACTCGAGGTCAACCCATGATATCTACATGGATGTCTCAAGAAGACTCACACGCAGAGACGGAAATCCTTCTCACCGCAGGACCTCGGAACCCGGAAAACGGGGTGGACTTCGGTCTGACTTCTTGGACACCTGATTCTCGTGGCATGAGCGGCGTTGATGTACGGTATCTAGCCGCTAGTCACCGGGGGCATTTCAACGCGTTCAAAGACAGGAAGCACAGCCATACTCGCTTTGACTCGCCCTCGGGTCAAGGCATCTTCAAAGTCGAAGGAGCCATCTTTGATACGGTTAGTGAGACAGCATTCTTGGGAAAGGAGGAGTTAAGGCGCAATTGGATCATGGGAAAGTTCGACCCGATCCGTCGCCATTCACGCCCGCGAGCAAGCCAATTCTTCAAGACCTTTTTCAAATAATGATTCTTTACAACATAACTATGTACGGTGACTCCTCTGCACAAACGACTGTGACCAAGAAAGAGAACAGATTACGCTTGGCGCTTGGATTCATTAATGATTTCAGTGAGTTCCATCAAAGACAAAAGTCAGCAACAGACAAACAAATGGATATAACCTTTCTCCAATGTTTTCACGAGACAGATATATTCGAGGAAGATGTTCGAGAGGACTCTGGTTTGTAGAAAACAGAGCCTGATACTCTGTATTTGTGCCGGAAGGAGTACGCAGTCAAACTTGGGCTGTTTGAAGTTTCGTCTACGTTTGGATGATAGTTTCCGAAAGAAGGGTCGCTCAGTAATCGCATCATTACGGGAATTTCTTGATATCAGACCTTATTAGGGACATCTTATTACCGCCATTTTGCCGAAGCATAATACGTATCACCACTATCCAGTCAAATCACTCATATTAGGACTTTCAACGACCAATCGTCTGCAGTACGTCTGATAAACTCGCTTGTTAAGTTTGCCTACGACAGCTATTTGGTTTGTGATTACGGAGCATACCAATTTGTGCTACTGTATGTATTTTCATTTTTCCTTGAAAAGAAAAGAAAGCTATTTTGATTCAGCCTCGACCGTGTTCTTTCTCACGACGCCCCTGGCAAACTCCCCGAAAGTTATGTGCTGGTCTGTATCTACCTCCTCTCCAAGGTTGGGCTGTGTGAATACTGCGAGTGTGTTTCGCGCCACCCTTCCATTACTCATAGAGGGCCGAACGCCTCGCACGAAATGCGGAACAGCCTTGAACTTCCCCTTCGTGATCTTCTCCAACGCCTCTCCTGTCTGGAAAGCAATGCAGTCTCTCGGGATCTTGACTTGAACCGTCTCCCCAGTCCGAGATTTGATGTAGAGGCCGGCCAAAGGATCCGGACTTCCCGACATTTCCTCCAGCGGTGGAAGTGTCGAGCCAGTCTCGGGGACAGAGACTACAGTCGATGTTGTATGTTCGTCAACAAACATGGCAGATGTCAAGGCCGTCAACACGGAGTGGTCCAAATGTACACCACACCAATCATCCTCGTTCACTTCTGAATTGTCCTGAGATTGAGGATAGTAGTGAAGTAGTCTAGCCTTGGTGGTATTGCTTGTGCTGACAACGTGCTCGACGTAACCTTTTGTGTAGCCGTCGATTTCCCGTTCAGCGTATTGGTCACAGGCTCGCGCTACTAAAACAGCAGTATCGATCAGAAGACGGCAAAGGTTCTCGAGGCTGTTCTTGAAACCAGGCAGAACATCCTCTCCGGGCCAGATGTTGGGTGAGAGATATTCCGGGAAGTTTTCTGGGGAAAATTCGGCAGTGGGTTTTGCACAATCCAGTTTGGGGTCTGTGTAAAAGGCGCAGTTGGCGTAGAATGATCCTTTGAAGGTGTCCACTTGTCCGTCCTTTAGTTGCTCCTTGCCTAAAGACCAGCCGGTGAGGTATTTTGCAGCTGGATTTTCAATCTTGGCTACGGCAATGCGTCAGCTTCTGCCACCGAATCCGGAATCGCAGTAGCGTACCGAGTTGCATTTCAGAGAGGTTTCCAAGGTATGATGCATAAGACAGTGCCTGACGCCGAAGTTGAGGGAACTCGGGGGGGACATCTTTCACTACCAAGATTCCAAGAGAGTCTGGCCCAAAAGCTTCCACGAGCGTTTCGAATGGAACATTTCCTAATGTCGTGGTTCGGGATTAGAATGAGTTAGAATAGGCGCATGTTGTGAACATACCCGCTTTCAAATCAGTGAGTGACACTACAACTGGTTGAGCGATGTTGACAGCCGGTCCGCTCATTGTAATAATTTGTGGAAGGGTTTCGTAACCTGGCGATATGGGGCACCGTGGACAATTCTAAGGCTTCAAAAACTATGGTATCATGTGTGACAAGTCTGCACAACCGAAGCCCCGAGTCGACCCAGCCTTATATATCGATTCTCCGTGGTGTGGGTTGGAGACACGATGTCCCGCATACACTGTGTCGTCCTGGGACAGATTTGCTATTGGGCAATTCTTACGAGGTCCAGGAGTTGGTTTGGGTATGTGGAGCGCGCGTAACAAACGCGCAATAGAGCCACTTATTACAAGATCCCATCGGTTAATCCCGATTGGTTGATAATTACGATCCCACGCTGATGAGCAACACAGTCCAACTGTTTCACGGCACCACTGCGGCTGGAAACCCTGATTGGCCGGTAATATAACATCTTTGAATTCCTCTTATGAAGACGAATTTGTGATCGTTGACTTTCGAAATGTTTGTTTCTTACCGGAAGGAGTCATTTTACCCCATTGCTGCATAATGCATCCCATTGTGTCATAAGTCTTCTACGACAATCGGGCCCAGAATATGTGCCTTGTTGCATCCGCCAACCTTACAAATCTTTGACCGCATATTGGAGGTAGGAGGTAGTTTTGTTAAGACAGGTTTACCATCATGCCCTGGCGAGAGCCTCTGGTAAATCTTATGCACCTGGCCCGTCTCTTGTACAGGAACATCTTCCAACCAGAACCACCTCGAGTCTGGCGGTACTAATCCGCTCTCGTCCCGGCCGGTTTCCTCAAGTAACAAGGCCCCCAGAATCCCGTGCATATTTGATACTACATCCCAGGAGACCATAGATGATGGAATTTCGTCAAGGGCCTGGAGCGCCGTCATGCGGATATCGTGATTCCTGCAGGCGCGCACAACCGTGCAGAGGGGTAAAATGAGACCCTGCCCGAGCAGGACAGACGTTGGAGGTGGCTGTGATACACAGTCGCGATAGAGATCGACGCACTGGATCGTGAGATCCCGGAATTCTTGTTCGAAAGCGTCATAAGCCATCTCGGTTGGGTCGAGACAGCATGTCAGGGTTATGTAGAGAAGAAGCCAGTGTATCTGCACAATTCTCAGGCCCTTCTTAGTTCCAGTGTCGATTTTCGGACTCTGGATATAGTACTGAATGATGATTTTCCACCTATGCAACTGCGACAGAAACGTTTGCTGGTGGGCGGTAAGATGGCCAAGGGACTCCAGTGTGACGCCTTCTGCTGTCGCATCTGCAGAGGTGCCGACAAAGCCAACGCCAAAGGTGAAAAACCTACCCCATGTGATGAAGAATTTCGATATAGACTCGTGTTTGGGGTTGTGAAAGTCCGAGCCGGGATCAATCTTGAATGGATGAGTATGCCGACGGAGCGGTTGGAGTGATTGAGAGACATGGCTCATTGCTGCTATGCAGGGCAGCACATGCTCCATATCGTCAAACTCGGAGTCTCGAGACTGTGGTTCACTGTTGACGGAACCGCTCTCAAACATGGTGATGCAGTCCTTTAGAACGCCTAGGCATGAGTTGAGGAGAAGCTGCGCTGTCTTGGGCTCTCCCTGGAGCAGCTCGTAAATGACAAGTAGTAGGGTAGTGATGACAATGGTCGTTGGTGACGATGCCGTGATCAACTCCATCCGTTCTCTTAAAGACTTCACTGCTTGTAGATGATGTCGCAGAGCAACCTCGCGATGTTCTGTTACACCTTGGCCATCCGATGAGGGTGGCAAGACCTTTTCACGATGTATACTTGGTTTCGTGTCTTGCGGCGAAGAACGGATGAGGGCGCCGACAGCAAGTATCGAATGATGAATACAGTCGTCTTGCAGGCCTTCACCAATGACCAGGTGAGACCAGTTTGGGCTGGTATAGTAACCTGCCAGGTTGGTGGAGACCTGATGGCGGAAGTAATCGAAGTAGATCCCATCTTTGCGGTAAACCTCTGGCAAATTCGACAGAGACCGAGGGATTTGCGGCCTGGTGGGTACGACGAGTGCGGAACTGCAAGACTCGGTCTGGGATGGTGTGGAGCGAGGAGCGATGAGTAGCGGGACCGTTCGGCGGACAACGTTCTGCGTTTGTCTTCTTCTCCTCCTGTCGATGCGATCCACGTATCCTTCGCACGTCACGCCGACCTTTTCGCATCGGAAGCATGTGGGCTTGCGCTCGTCGCACTTGACATGGCGCGTCTTGCAGGTTGCACAGCCGGTACGGGCCTTCGGTCCACCCGCCCTCCGCCGCTTGGTCTCCTCCGGCGGCGAGGCCCGTTCGCTAGGGGTGGCTTCCGGAGACGCCTCCCGGAGCGGCTTAGGCAATATCCAGGGCCCGATCCTGGAGGCCAGGTCTGGGCCGTGTTGCTCCATTTGTTTCTAGGCCTTGTGCGCGACTCGGGTCGGATTGGCTGGCTATGCGAGTGAAGTGGTACGATTCCGGGTCTCAAGAGTGAGAAATCTCACGGAGCAGAAGAGAGGGCTCACCTCAGCCGCTCAGCGAAGATTTGTCTGGGGATAAATGCAACGCGTCAGTTGGGGACAAACGTCGTATCCACCGGAGTCCCCGGACTGCGGGGCTCATGCATGGCAATGGATGCAACATTATTCGCGCGTTCTCTTATCATAACCTCGTGTGACTGGTCACCTGGTCGCTCGTAATTAGTAGACCAATCAGAAAGAACGTTGTGGTCTCCTTGGGGGCTTCTACTATGTAGATGAAGATGCGGTCTGACTTGGAAAATCACCCGAAGATTTGGATGCATTTGTTGTCCAAGGTCAACACTGGAATGGTGACATTGCTTCGTTGTGCCGTTTACGATAGAGGCTTGCGTCAAAAGCGTTAAGAGAAAGGGTCTGCGCAGAAGATTCCAGTCTGTGACGGTGGCTGGACAAGCAATAAGAATTTGAGTCGAGTGGCTGACATGGATCGTCATTTTATCCTCTGATTCAATACCGGTAGTGCTATGTTTATCATTTTGCCCATCTATCCGCTCATGACCATGCAATTATGGGCTTAACCACATCGCCGCGTTTCATAGCTTTTACAGCCGATCCAAAATCGCCAGACTGGAAAACCTTTATAAGCTTCTCAACAGGAAACTTTCCGTCTCTCCACCACCGAACCATTTGAGGAATGTATTCCGTCGTGTTGACGTGTCCCTGGATAGCCCCAAAATACTGCTTCCCGCTGACCATGAAACTCTGCATATGAAGCTCGAGATGAGCCTCCGGCATACCCGTTCCAACCTGAATGATCTTGCCCATGTACCGTGTTCCTTGGATCTGGGCATTAAGAAGTGGCGGGTAGGCACTTGTGTCGATACAGATGGTTGCTCCTAGTCCATCTGCGGCCTCCTTGATCCTCTCCGTGACTTGTGCCATCTCTAGCCCGGTTGTGTTGATAATGTGCGTTGCGCCAAGTGACTTCGCCAGCTCGAGGCGGGAATCCAATCGGTCTATTCCAATAATGGTCTTGCACCCTTGGTTCTTCGCGGCGATGACGGCTGCCAAACCGACACCTCCCATGCCCGCGATGGTGATGCAGTCCTCGGGTCCGGCTTTCGCAACGTTGACGACAGTTCCGCTGCCGGTTTGAAGACCACACCCAAGCGGTGCCAGTATCCTCAGCTCGTCACGAGTAAGACCAAGGCCATTGGCGTTGACAACGGACTTATCGCTCACAACAGTGTGGTGGGCTAAACTAGACTGGCCAAAAAAGCGACCGCTGATTCCGTCAGAGAAGACAGGTTCACCCATGAAGTTGATTTCGAAAAAGTTGGTGCAGTGAGATGGCGGTCCGGTTTTGCAAACGTGGCACGATCCACAGTATGAGAAGGAGAGGAAGACCGCATCGCCGGCCTTGACCTTTGTGACGCTGCTTCCAACACGGACCACGTAGCCGGAGCCTAGCAAAAGAAGTCAGCGCTTAACCTTTATTATTAGAGCTACGAGCTTGTTCAATGCTTGCCGCTATACCTTCATGCCCAAGAACCCTGGGATAATACACGCCAGGAACTCCTTTGTCCTCGGCCGTGTCGCCGCAGTGCAAGTCTGTATGGCAGATGCCAGAGGCAACAATCTCAACAAGAACCTCATCTGCACGAAGCTCTCGAAGATTTACCGGTTCAATAGCCCATTTCCCTTCGCTGAAAGGGCCTCTGGCAACGATGGCCTCCGACGTAAAAGCCATTTGGTTAAGGTTGGGTTTGTCGTTATAGGGTTCACTGGGATGGTCTTTCGGAAGACTATTGGTAATTTCAAGAACACATCTACTGAAGTGTAGGATGAAGTAGGTATTGGCTTAGTGGTGTGTGTTATTTATTCTATCTCCTTATTGGGTGCTGGAGAAGAAATTGAAATAGGGTGCGGGGTTGGATTGTGACCGGTGATAAGCGGGGGGCGCCTGCGGCACTGAGGTATCCGTACTCCGATTGCTTATCTAGGTAAACATCACCACTAATATTTTGATAAGATGAAACGAAGCTAATCACAAGAGTTGAGCATCTTGAAAAGACGTTTTCTTTCTTGAAAGACCATGTGGGTCGTGCAAATCAATTCACGTAATATACCCGGTTGCGAGCCCGTTGGGACGAGATGAGACGGTTTCCGCAGAACGACCACACCTGCCAACTAAAAAAACCATTCGGATTGTTGGCCACATCCTTTAGAGATCGAGAGGTTACGGACCACTGCGGGACTGTTGAACAGCGGCCTGTGTTCCCATTAGTAATATGAGGAACACTGGCGATGGAAACTTGCAAAACATCCAGAAAAATCAGTATATTCTGTTCCGCAAAAGTCTGTCAATGCCCAAAGAGTCTAAACGTTAGGCTTTATATCATTTGTAAGGGTTAATTAGGTAGTAGAATATCCAAAAGCTCCTTTCGCGCATAAACCAGGATTTTGCCAATTGATGGCACGCCTTACCCTATTTGTTAAATTGTTCTAGACTTCATAACTGGTCGATCACAACTTACCCGGTACCAGAATGTTACAATCCGTATAAACCGAAACGTAGCCATATCGACTTAGAGCAGCTGCATACCTTGCCCTTTTTCTAATCAGAGCAAGGTCATGAACACTACTGCTGATCCTTAGAATGCCGTGTCACTTTTGTTTCCCGCATGGCTTGGTGCTTTGACCACTGATGAGTATCGGGAAGTCGGGAATGGAGAGTTGTGAAACACCTTCCAATACCCATACTTCCGCCACATGACGTGTCTGGAAGAGTTTTCCCGTGCTTGTGAAATCGAGTACAAGAGACTGACCCAGATACCCGCACACAGAAGAATGATGGTATTCTGATTTCTCGTGAGCAGCAGTAGCTGAGAGGCCTCCGGGGCTAAGGATAGGTGTAGGGACTACTATTTGGTGAACAACTTGATTGACTGCTCCGTCTTTCATTCCATAGAATGTTAGGGGTGCATCCATGCTACACGAAGAAAAGAAATAGCCGATGTCGTGTCAGTACGCCACCTGGCCGCACAGCTCAATTCATGACGATCAGACTTACGAGTACGAAACCTACCCCGCACAGATTGCTCGGTGTGCTGCTTTAGATACACGTGAGGCTCACTCGATGAACCTTGATGCGGAGTTTTTGTTCAGCCCGCCTGTCCCACTCTTCCCGCTTCGGGACCCCCACACCCGACGTTTTGGTTGCATGGTGATCGATTCCGCTGCATGGCTCAAACGGCTTGTATTGCCTGCTGACTTAACCCGGATTATGATCTGTTGGTTACCGTATGGGCGATAGGCAAACGACGCTGCGTGCATGAGGCCCACCGCTTCCAACCCCTCCCCAAGTGCCTAGGTAGGGTGGTCCTACCTTAATTTGTGACACTCCGGCTTCTTGCTGCACTGCCAACTGTTCGTGTTTCGTCAGCAGCACTTCGCACTCGTATGGAGGACCTACCTGCAAACAGGATGGCCTAGCGAGCTTTCCGGCTCGGGTATTCATACTCGCATGCTACGGTAACAAAACAAATGGTGGAGGGTGAGACGAACGGCGTATATTACAGCCTGAGACCCCTCGTACTTTTTCAAAACATAACCTCCGACTCAAGCACACCTTCCCCTTCAAGTTTCAAATATTTGGTCACCAGTGCCAAAATTCCTCGATGCAAACATGAACGCCACGGCAGGCACGCCGCTGGAGAGCACACTTCTCATCGAGGCAGCAAACAGATGGCCTATCGCTGCAACGGTGCTGCTTACCTTTGCCTTTGCTTTCGTTGTGCAGTCGGTCTTCAAGCACGATGCATTGTCAGAAATCCCCCTAGTTGGAACAGAATATGGCGGACAAGAGAGCAGGAGAAAGAAATTTGTGGATGGGGGTGCCAAGAACCTCTATTTGGACGGATACAAGAAGGTAGGTTAATGAGTATGGACTTGGAGAGGCCATGGATTGATGATTCACCTTCTGTAGTTCAAGGAGCAGGCTTTCCGGATTACTTCAACAAAGAGTCAGTGTCTGATCCACGAGATAAGATGTCGAGGCTTAGTGCTGACTTTTCTTGACAGAAGCAACCAATATCGTTGTGGCCCCGAAGTTCATGGACGAGCTTAAAAGGCTTCCTGATGACGTGTTGAGCTTTAATGAAGCTATAGAGGAGGTTGGTTCTCAAGCACAAGAGAAGAATTCCAAAAAGGATACTGAGACTGAAATATCAACAGAGCTTACAAGCGAAATACACTGGCGTCGAGACAAATATCGAAATGCTTCCTCGTTTAGTTAAGACATCTCTAACGCCGGCTCTTGGTGTGTTTTCCTTTCCGGCTGTTACATTTAAGAAGTTGCTGCTTACAACTATTTAGTTCGACTCAACCCCATCATATCTGACGAGGTTGTTGAGGCGATGCGAGTCGAGCTACCACAATCGAGTGGATGGACCGAGGTCAAGATTATGGACAAATTGATGCGCATTATTGCAATGGCGTCTGGCCGCGTTTTTGTCGGGCCTGAGCTGTGTCGGAACGAAGACTACATCGATTCAGCTATCAACTACACTGTAGACCTATTGAAGGCAATCCGGAAGGTCTCTACTATACCGCCATGGATACGCCCTATTTTAGCGCCAAGGCAGCCTGAGGTTAGGAGGGTACACAAGCGCATTGCCGAGGCAGTTGAGTTTCTGAAGCCGATTGTCAAATCCAGGAGAGAGGCATCTGAAGATCCAGATTATCAGAAGCCCGATGACATGCTGCAATGGATGATAGACACGCAAGAGAAGTCTGGCGACAAGGACAACAAGAAGCTTGCCCGATATCAGTTGGGTATCAGCTTCGCCGCTATTCACACTACGTCACTGACGGCTACCAACACGTAAGTCTAGGTTTCCTATGTTGTTCGACCTACTGACTCGACTACTCAAGGCTATACACGCTAGCATCAATGCCTGAATTCGTTCCCGTTCTTCGCGACGATGTGCAACAAGCTTTGGCTGACGCCAACGGAGTTTTCACCAATATCGCAATGCAGAATATGAAAAAGCTAGATAGCTTCATCAAGGAATGCATGCGACACTACGCCATGGGATTTTGTAAGTCTCCTGAAACCTCTTCATTCTCCTGTCTGACGTTGTCAACAGCGTCCTTCCAGCGAAAAGTCCTCAAGACATTCACTCTTTCCAACGGCCAGGTTATTCCCGCGGGTTGCATAATCGAGGTACCTGTTATCGGTATCTACAACGACAATGAATTTTTTCCAGACGCAGACAAGTTCGACCCCTTGCGCTTCTATAAGATGCGCCAGTCGAAGACGGAACAGAAGACAGTATCCAAGCAGGTTGAGATGGTCGCGAATGCCCAATTCGTCAGCGTGAGTCAGACTAGTCTGACTTTTGGGTATGGACGTCATGCTTGCCCAGGTCGCTTCTTTGCCGTAAACGAGATCAAGATGATTCTGGCAACACTGCTGTTGAACTACGATTTAAGGAACGTAGCAGGAGTAAAGGAAAGATATCCCAATTTGGTTTCTGGAGCAATAGTAAGCCATATCCTGTCCTACAGAGAATAACTTGGCCCCCTAACTCTGCCCTATAGGTTCATCCCGATCCCGATAGAGTGCTTCTTCTGAAGAAGTTGTAGTGAATCACTCAGTACTCGAAGAGTCTATACCTCTGGATGTGCTTCATGGCGAAGAATGTTAGCCTATGCATGAGATACTAGTCAAGTATGAGATGAATAGTTAAATCGCCAGCTATAAGATCAAGACAGTCATGAGTAATTAGAAGAGCAGGTTGATTTGAGCAACATAAATATGTTACAATTACCTAGAGCTAGTCGCTGCCAAGAGAAAACCAGATGATTCAACGATGGGCAGTGTCGAACTTTTGTGCTTGAGAGTCTCGTTTGAATTCATTTCCTACGTCATGGCATGCACACTTTCTCTTTATAGTAGTCAGTGAATATTGATTGGACTGGCGTCCAAAGATGGTTGAGAAATTTGCGGATATTACCATATTGGTTTACTCAAGTAGACATAAAACAAATGGGTAATATATCCTTGAGCTCAATCAAGCCTTGTAGAGGACTTTGAAGACCCAACCGAACTCGTCCTCCTCGATCAAAGCTTCATCCACCTTGATCTTCAGCTCACACTCGGATCCCGAGTTATCTAAGTCCCATTCGAGCTCCTCGCCACCGTTCACTCCGAGAAGACTGACAGAATCACCCCGAAGAATGGGAATCGGGGCCTGGATAGTCACCCAGCCGTCAATGGAGAGTGGCTTCTCCAAGAACACGGTATAGAATGCATCATCAGTCTGTGTGAACCTCACATCTGGCCCTCCAATGATCTCGCTCTGCACGAACCAATATGTCGTGTTAAAGATCGCTTCCTCATGGCTCTTGATCCACTTGCCAGCCTCACGTAGATTTTTCATTTCTGCCTCAACGATGGTCCCATCTGCCCTCGGTCCGATGTCCAGAAGGAAGTTGCCATTCTTTGACACCATGTCAACGAGGGAGTATACAATCGTGGTAGCGTTCATGTATTCCTCAGGCTTCGTTGCCCGGTTATATCCGTAGCTGTATGGGTCCATGCCACGATTGCTCTCCCACTTGCGGCTCTGAGCAGACGCAAAGGTCTGGTATTCGGGAGTGTCGAAGTCCGCCGCCTCTGGAATGCCGCAGCGTGAGTTAATGGCGACCTGTCGGCCCTCGGCACGGGCCTTGTTCCACCACTCTGCCGCGAATCCTGCCGTGCCGTTGGCGGCGCCGCAGTCACACCACATGATATCGGTACCATAGTCGTATGCCAGAGTCTCCATCTGAGGAACCATGAGATCGACAATGAAGTCATTGACGGGCACGTGTCCGGTGTACGGCTCGGGTTCGCCTGTGTAGGGGTTTGGGGCCAACGTACCCGGCCACGAGACAGCTGATGGAGTCGGGAACTGGACGAAACCGTATGGGCCAAAGTCTGGGTTAAACCACTCAGGTAGCGAGAAGTATGTTCCCCGCTTCAAAGAAGGCTGATATGTCTCGGCAGCATCAAATAATTCCTTGAGAAGGTCACGCTTGGGACCATAGTGAATTGCGGAACGGTTCGAAGTCTTGCCTGCGTCAAAGAGAGCAAACCCATCGTGATGCTTCGTCGTGATAACAAAGTACTTGGCGCCGGCATCGGCAAACAAGTCAACCCACTCTTTGGCATCGAATTTGGAGGCGTTGAACTCCGGAAAGGTATCATCATAAGCCCAGTCAGGGCCGTAAGTATCGAGCCGGTATCCGTAGAAGTTGGAGCGATCGCCTTCGGGATGATGGGTAGAGTACCACCAGAACCACTCTGAATAGCTTTCGTAAGGCGTCGAATTTCCCCAGCCAGTAACAGCATACGGACCCCAATGGATGAAGACACCGTACTTGGCGTCGTCGAACCATTCCGGACTTTCATGCTTCGAAAGACTGTCGGAATCTGCTGTCCACTCAGCCAAGCCAATTTCAACATTGTCAACCGATGTCGTCCTTTTGGTATCCTCGCTGCTAATCTCTACGGAGACACTAACGAAACCGTCGGAAGCTCCATTAACACCGACAGCTACAATCTTTTGGTCGCCGGGGCAGAGCCGCTTCAGATGCCCTGGACTAACAGTGTGGAAACCATCTCCATGGATAGTCAAGTTGAGACCATTTCCGGACACGCACGAAGACCCGGCATTGTTGATGGTGACCTCCACTATTTGTGTATCATTGCCCATCCACTTCTGCGTTGGCCGGACTGACTGCACGCCAACATCCGGTGATTGCTGCCACAAGGAAACAGCAAAGACATGAAGCCGGCCCTCGGTGGCATTGTTCTTCACTGGCAGGATGATAGAGCTCAGCTTCTTCCCCGGTGGCAGAGCCGTGGTACGCTCGAAAATATGTGAGCTGTTAAAGTCAGAGCCATTGGCCGTATATCTACTCGGGAAAATGATCTCGCCGCGATTGATGGTCAAGAAACTGAACCAATTGAGTGTGCGGAGCTCAAATTCTGACGTTGTGTTGTCGGAGTAGACAAAGGAGACATTGCCGCTGACTGTCGAACCCTCCACGTCTCCAGCGACGAGGAAGGAGGCCGAAAAGTAGGTAGCCGGAGGGACGGTGACTTTTTGACCATTACAGATCAGATTATCGGGTTCCGCGGGACCGGTGTAGCCAGGGAAACTGTAATGGATTCCTGTGTCAGGAGAGACGAACTCTGGGCCAACCGTGGGCTCAGGGAACGACTGGTTGAGTGCGTCGAATGATGCCTCTCCAGGTCGAGTTCCGAACCCTTTATTGTTGAAGAGAGGGATCAGATCAAGTGGAACGGAAATCTGTTGCATTGATGTCAATAGAGTTCAATGAGGCTTCCAATCGCTGGGATGCTCACTCCATGGGAAGACGAGTTGCTCACTTCCCCGAGCGCAATCCCGGTCAAACACAGCACCGAGAGAGAGCTGAATTTACTGAAACCTTTCATTCTGAAGGTTGTGGTTTTCCGAGGCCCGAAACACCTGACCTCTGCGCTTTAATGGGCAGAGGAGCCCGCGATCCTTAACTATTAACGGCGCGATGGAGCGGCGGGGATTTGGACGATCCAACTTTTCCATGAACCATCTCCCCAGTTCGCCTAAGATGTCGCTACTATCTCATCCAAATGGGACGGTAACATTCAGACCCAATGCCCACTATTCATGCTACCATCAATATCTGAGGGGCTGGTTGACAGTGAGGGGTACAGCTGATAAGATGGTAGAATCTTGATAGCACCACTTCCCCGGACATCATTAAGACAGGGGTCCAGGTTCCAATGTTTAGTGATCGGGCACTTCTCCGAGAGACCTTGTCGCACTCTAATGGATCGATGCCGAAATCGGCTATTCTGTTCTATCATGCGCTTGTCTCGTTGCAATCGCTTCTTTTGGCCCCCACCCCCACCTTTCACGGTACGGTCATTGTTCAGTGACAGGTTTTGTGAGCAAACGGGCCATTGGGTACTACTAGAATCCAGGAAGAGACAAAAAGTCCATACAATTATTTGGCTACGCAACACGTAGTGATCGCAGCAAAGCCGTATGTGCTTATAAGTACAGAGGTAAATGCGGGCAACGTAAGGGGGGGATCAGCAGACGCGCCGAGGTTGGGGACGCATGACTGGTCGCAAAAAGTCCACATGTTGGTTTTTATTTTAAACTCGCTGAACCTATCCGCTGGAATAAGAAATATGGAGCGATCTACGGATTCCCCATCTGAATGGAGAACCACGGTTTGTTTCTTGCGGAACCTTGCCATAGCGGCGAGTGATTTGCATCTGTCTTTCAGCCGGCAGCGGAGTCGAAACGTTTCGTAAACATTTTCCCCACTTTCGTTTATAGTCACCGTAATAATACAAGCTTTGCTCTCTAACTTGAGTATAACCTTCACGCATCTTGGCAACCGCTTCACCTTCAACGGTAGTGGTTAGACAAGGCCCTCAGGTTTGGATGTTACGAAGCATGGTAACTGATGAACTTTTTCTATTGCGTGAATTGCATTCTCATAGTCGTCCATCATAGCTTGCTCTGTAGGCACCCGGACGAGGGTACAATAAGGAAATAAACAACCACATTATCCGCCATGCTGACCTAAATGATTCACCCTAGAAATGCGCGCCCAAACGTCGACGCATCAGCAACGAATTCCGTCTCGGGGTCTCGGACCCCTTCTGCACTGGCTTGTTCTGCGAAGCAAGCTTGGACATTAGGTCCCATGTAGGCGCCATGCCTCCGTTGCGCCTTGCCTCAACCATGGTCATCAGGTCGGCCAACTTCATCTCGAAGGCTCCTGCGGGAATCGGGGCCGCTGCCTCTTGACGCGGTTGATTACCAGAAGTTTTAGCGCGAGCGGGACTAGGCTGTGCAGCGATGATGCCACCTGATTGAGGCGGGGCAGGCTCTACGAGACCACCGCCTTGCTGAGGCTGACCTTGCTGAGGCTGGCCTTGCTGAGGCTGACCTAGCTGAGGTTGGCCCTGCTGGGGAGCAGGTTGGGGCTGAACCGGTTGAGGTTGTCCTTGCTGAGGAGCAGGCTGGGGCTGACCTGGTTGAGGTTGTCCCTGCTGGGGAACGGGCTTAGGCTGGGCGCCGACGGGAGTTCCGGCAACCGTCATGGTGAGGATGAACTCGCCATCAATCTGATTAATTGGAACGGCTATCCGAGAATTCTCTCTGTCTAGGAGAATCTGGGCATTGATTGGAGTAAAGGTTTGAGCCAGGAGAAGCTGTGACGCCGCAGGGATTGGTGGGCTGGCGTTTGAAGGAGGATTCTGGCCGGTCTGAGGAGAGGTAGAAGGCGGCTGAGTGTTTCCTCCAGCGGGAGGCTGCGCAACGGCGGGATCATTACCAACAGCGGTTCCTGCGCCGTTGCCAGTAGTATTACCAGAAACGTTTGATGGAGGTTGAGTGTTTCCTCCAGCAGGAGACGGCGCAACTGCGGGATCGTTACCAGTAGCGATTCCTGCGCCGTTGCCAGTAGTATTACCAGAGCCGGTTGCCGGAGGCTGGGTGTTTCCTCCAGCGGGAGGTGGCGCGACGGCGGGAGAATTACCGATAGCGGTTCCTGCGCCGTTGCCACTAGTATTACCAGGGCCGTTTGCTGAAGGCTGCGAGCCAACCGTGTTGTTGCCCGCTTGACGCTTGAAGCGAGGAGACTGCAATCTACTAGTCGCACCGCCAGGGTTCTGGAGAACCGGGCGTTGAGCGATGCCCAGTGTGATTGAAGACTGCGGCTGAGCACCTGCGCGCAAAGCCATGGCCATGAGTCGCTCGACATTGACTAATGTTTCAAAACACGGTCAGTGCTATTCTCAAATACCGACAAACTTCATTTCATCCCGTGGGGGAGGAAAACTTACGCGGTATCTGAACCACGGCGGTCATACTGTTGAGGCTGGGAACAACACCGGCAAGATTGCTGGTAACGAGGTACCGGTAGTTGTCTACCATATTGTTAGTGCGGCATTCTATCGACAAACGGGAGATTGTCTGGACACTCACTAATAGACATGACGCCGTTGGTCACCATTTCAGGGCTAATACCATTGACCACATCCGTGCGAATGCTCATCGGCTGGCTTGCTTTGATGGACATCCGAAATCCGTCCTGGAACTCCGCCTCTTGGATACCGGATCCAATAATGCTCACGGGCTGACCGAAGGGAGTCAGAGAAGCGCCAAGCTCGCTGGTTTGGCGGCCCACGGCCACGAACTCTCCGTCAATTTGATTCAGCTTGACCATACGGACATTCGCATCAGTGATATTGACGCTTTTGAGCCCCTCCATTATGATCCAGGCTTGGCGGTCTTTCGACAACTTTGCGACAAAGGTGTTATCAGCGGTTACGCCAGCCTGCGAGAGCATAGCCTGGTCAATGGGCAGCTCGATTTGAGCGCCTACCAGGTCGATGGCTCCATTCGTCTGGATGGATAGAGAGTTGCGCGAGAGCTGAACGAAGGGCTGACCCGTCGAGCCAACGACGTGGCTTGCCGACAGCGGGTTAGGGTTTTGGTTGACAATGATCTGGTGCTGTGACTGGGAGAACGTTTCGATCTTCGTGCCATCAGGGAACAAAAGAGTGTTGGGTTGCATCTGGCAGACTTGTTAGTATGTCCTGAACGAGCTGTGTCTACCACACACCCTTCCCAATTTCTGCCGCGATTGTGAACAGACAATATGCTAGGGCATCAATAACTTACATCGCCATTGATGTTGATAACCTGATTAAACAGCGCGTTCTGTTGCCCTCTTACTGTAACAAATCCAGAGAGTAGCAAAGCAAGCTGAGAAAGCTTCGTTAGAGCCATTACGAAGGGTCAACCGCCAGGGTTGCTCAGGCAAACTATAAGAAAGAAGTAAAAAAAACAAATGGTAAGGGAAAGAGAGACACCGTTACTAAACCCACGGGTCCTAGGGGAATGATTTTTGTGTAGAAGTGAAAAACCAAATCGAGGGATATCAACAGTCTAACGAGGGGTCGTGTAAAGTTAATGCCACAGGAATGGAGAGAACGCGGCTACGCCTTGGATATATGGCAGGGCGGACCGGAGGAGATGACGGCAACGACGCCACATGGTGGTTGACGGACATGATACTTTGATGTGGTGGTCGGATACGGAAAGACAGAGCTCAGCCGAAAAGAGCTCGACCCTCGAATCGGATGCGCTGTTTGGAATTGGCTGTGGTAGGAGAATATCTGCAAGACACCGCTCCCAATATCATCCGGCCGCAGAATCCCCGGTCTGTTGATACCGATGCACCTTGGCTGAAAATAGGTCTGAGGTGGCATCGGGCTTAACCATCGGACCTTGGAACTTCCGACTACTGAAGGCCTTCGGACGCCTGAATGTAGGCGCAAGGAGCAAGCATTGCCACAAAGAGCTGTCGTCATCCTGTCTTGGATGGGGAGGGGGGCAAGAAGTAGGACAAGGTAGGGCTGCTCGGATTCGGCTGATACGAGACACGTTTCGATGTTTCGAGCTCGGGCATATAGAGTTTAATCGGACGAGGCCGGGCGGGGAGGAGGGGGGGGTGACCGCGCCTTATGCAAGAGTCCAAGACTGCGCCCCTTCTCCTAGACCCTGAGATCACGTCGGAGAATCAGAGAGGGGTGTCAGGATTCATAAGAGCCGTAGATCCTGGGGACCCCGTCCTTCTATTCGGATGTTTCCTCGATTGCCGGCGAGAAGCGTTTATGTTTCATCACAGCTTACTCGAACATGGGTTGCCGCTTGACGGATGATGGAGACTTGGCCTCATGGCTGCTTTTTCTGCACCCCACCCAACCTTGTGTCTCTTTGTTATAGCCTCCCTCGGCCTTTTGGATAACCTCTTCTACGCCTATTCCGTCTGGCCACGCACAGCATTCAACAAGTCCACATGTTTCCTTGTGCCCCCCTTCTCTTCCCCACCCTCTCGCAACTGTAATACAGTTATCAAAAAAGCTTTGACATAGCAACTAGCTTATGTTTGTTCTCCACACATTCTCCAGGCATTCGTAGTCACCTCTGCACCGTTTGTATCTATGCAACCGACACGACAATATGGTTGATGCAACCTCTTCCTTCTTGAAGAATCGAAATTTTCTCTTTGCTTTCGTTAGTCTTATCTAGTTGTCATTATCCGGTTCCCGAGGCACTTGTAATTGAAATGACGGTACTTCAGTGGCCCCAAGTTCAAAGATCGTGTCAATAGATCAAGTTTGGATGCTGCTAAGTAATAGTTTGCATCACACCATCCCGCATGATACAGATGACAGCCACCAAGTGCTTTTTTTGCGTTTCTAAACCAAGGCTGTTTTTTCTATAGTTCTGACTCGGTCGTTCTGTTCTGGGATACATCGCTCAATGTCTTGATGGCTGATAGGCTGTTTTCCATGAAGCAAACGATTCGTGTCGTTTGAAGTTTGTATCTGGTATAGCCGCGAAGTTACCTTATACTTCAATTGGGCCCTGAACTTATTCGACTCACACTCTTCACATTCTGCCTTGCTCAAGTGGCCTTACCTCTACACATAACTTTTCAGGTCACGCCAGCTGATCCTTGCGTGACAAACACTTTGACCCCTTTTCATCCGCTTGTTTCGTCTCTTCACAACCCGAATCACTGATCTCCCTCTTTTATTGTAACTACTCTTAATGCGGCTAATATGTTGTCATCCTATGCTTTGCTTGTTACTTACGCCTTGCTCTTGCAACATACACAGTATGTTGTTGACCATGACGTCTAAAGTGCGTCGAACGTATCCATCTCGACCCCTCCAGTCGTGTTAGGTCTGGTCTCCTAAACGGCCCTTATCCTGGGAGACCCTTCCGGCTAATGTTAATTTTTCGCCCAAAGGGTGTCAAACTTCCCCGCCTTCAGTCACCTTGTACCTTCTCCAGATACCCATTTAATATAAGTATTCCATCGTCCCTTCCATCAGGCCGATATTTGTAAACCGATGAACGCTCTCTGATATTAATTGTGCTTTCTTTCTCTTCCATCCCATTCTATCTGAACAGACGGTCCAACGCCTTTGCAAGGCCCCCCATATCACCACTATCCTTAAAGAAATCTTGCATCCTTACAAAATCATCCCCTTGTGGTTTTATTATACCATTCTTTAGGATTGTTATACCTCACAATCCACGAGCTAGTCTCTTTATCAATCTCATTGACAACGTAACCATAATGCAGTCTCCATACATTTTTTTCTTCCTTTTCACTTACCTTCCTGCTCTTGGTCTGGCCTTACCAGCTACGGCCGATGGACGCAATGGTGTCTCTGCGTCCCAGATCTCGAACGCCGTCGCGGCCTGGAGACAAGATACGGGGAAAGTCTCCAATTTTCTTAACACTGCGACAACGTTCACCGGCTCAGAATTTACCAAGCAAGCTACGATCGCTCTCAACGCCGAACTTGACGAGCTGAATCACAAGAAGGTTCTTGATACCGCTTTCCAAGGAGCGCAGACGATTTCGCAAGCCAATAATGTGCTTGCTACTCAGGGCACATTTCAGCAGGTCGTTGATGTTTTAAGGTCCATGGTCCAGAATGGTCCTTCCACCGCCCAGCAAGACGTCGACACCATCAATCAAAACCGTTGTGTCAATGTTCTTCCCAACATCGACAAGTATTTCGCGGCTGCTGGTTCCCCTAACGTACGTTCAATTCGTCCTACGGGATGCTCATCGGTTCAAGGCGGTGGCGGGAACGGCGGCAATGGAAACGGCGGCAATGGAAACGGTGGCAATGGAAACGGCGGCAATGGAAATGGTGGGAACAACTCCGGAAAACAGAACCAGAACCAGAACCAGAACCAGAACCAGAACCAGGGCAAGGGAAACAACATCCAGAAGAATGGCAACAACAGCCCGCAGCCTGCCCGCTAGTCTGTATTCCCCAGCGTCCCGGCGGAACTGAACTCAATGACTTGCCAAGAGGAAGCTCATTCTTTACAAAGTTCAACAACCGCCAATCCTCACAGCTGACTTGACCACAACGACCGCAGGTATCCCACTCACTGAGACGGAAGCTGATGGAATGGCAGAAACCTTGTGTTTACATGTATGGCAGGTCCCTGTAAACCTGAACGTCAGTGTCTTCTCGTTGTCAGCTACCGTGCGACTTCACTTTGAGTCGAGACTTGTAGTCGCCGATGGTTGGTCATTGTGCATATGGAGTGGATTTTAGTTCATCAATGTTTGGTCCTTGTTGTTATTGGCATGAGAATCATTCTTTGTAACATGTCATCCCATTTCTCTTACAAGGACACTGGGGTAGGGAACCTTCTTACTGTTGTCATTGAAATTCCTATTGAATGCTGTAGTATGTAGTAGGCCGGTACATAATTGGATAACACTCGTTTACTCTGCATCCGAAACTGGCCGAAATCTATAATCGTCCCTGGGGCGTTTGGAAAATCCAAAACGAAACGTTGAGACTGAATTTCTAGGTTCAGGGATCCTGTACGTCACGCGCTTTGATCGCTCGGCGGAATCCGCCGTCTCATTCGCAGATCATCCCCGTGTCGTGCTCCGAGGTGCGACTGGCTTCCTCGTCTAATTAGCCCAATATCATCATCCAGAGTTCCGGACGGGGATATGAGAACCATGTTCATTCTCGATTAAAGATTGAAAAAGTTCGGGAGCGGCCTGTAGCCAGCATCTCTTCAGTATCCAGGTTCCTATTGGTTTAATTTCTCAGCATGTACCGCCTGATTGTTGGTCGCGCCATTTTGGCTAGGCTGCAAGAGCTTACTCCTGTCAGCCAAGTCATCCTCATGGAGGGCAGCACCGACAATGCCTTCGAGCACCATTCGCAGCTCGTTACTCTTCGGAATTTGTTTCGGCTTCTTTTTCACTCCCCTGCCGGACGCTGCTGAATCAAAATAGAAATTTAGCTGTTGACTTACTTCTTCGGCAAAACGGCGCAACGCAGCCCGCTTGGGTGGTTCCGCCTCCGAGGGCGAGAGTAAAGTGCGTGATAGGGTACAGAAACTGCAGATCAAATCCAGGTTTCACTGGGCAAGGGTTCCGGTATAGAAATCTGTGGGATATGGGTGGCCGGCTCGCCGGCTAGGCTTATAGTCTATAAGGTGGACCATGTTCCCGTCCGTTCCGATGATGTCCCGCGGCCAATAATGGAGATACACGGCTCATCGGTGTACTTACCATATGAGGATTGAGCCACACAGCTGTAACGAGTCCTAACACACAATTAGCCACGGTATAGGTGAGCCGAACATCGCCAAATTAACATTTGCCGTTGTTTCTCGGTTGATTAAGGTGCGAGCTCCGCACAAGTCAGGAGCCTAGAAACTTAAAAAGATCTGCAACTTCAAACATTACAATCCGAACTCAGTAAGCAACGGAAGGATCGGGTTTATGTTCAAGACTACCAATCTAATCGTGACATATTGGTTTCACTACCGGGTGGGATCATGTTGCAATGGCATCATCAGCTTATCTCTCCCGTGCTGCTATCGTCCAACTTCTTTAGCCTAAGCTTCCATCCTGCGCCACCTTACAACTTTGTCTGAAATGAACTAGAAAAAATATAGCATCGTATCAACATGCATCAGCATCTCTGATGCTCTGTCAGATGTTACCCCGGGGTATCGAAGCATTAGTTTTGTCAGATTTCTGAAACATGCGTCGAAAGCTCAATAGTGAAACCGCAGATATTAAGTCTGGAATGACAGGAAGCGAGATGCCACTCCATTTCATCAGATTGGGACGTTTCTTCGAATGACACAAGCTTCACGTGTCCAAGCTTAGATTTTCTGACTTACACCTTCTTGACCACCATTTCACAGGCTGAGGCTGAGGCCGTTGGCGCGATGAGATCTTCAACTCAGAATCAACTCGAAGTTTCATTGCGCTTCAGCTGTTATTTCCAACGGAGAAAAAGTGATCAAATTTAGCTCGAATGCCTTGGCAATCGACTGCTTGGTCCTCTATCGCTTGTGTCCGTGTGGAAAATCGGGTGTCAGAACTGCTTCTGTCACGCGATGATCATCAAACCTGTTCCAGCAGTTTCTTAGAGAGATATATTTGTATTTTTGAGAAGAATGGAGTGAACCAGCTCTTATTGTAGTTGCTTTGGAGTACATTCAGTGAAGACAAACACCAAGTGTCATCTTCCCATGGCTCTGAAACCATCATGACTAAAAGCTCATCGGTTTATGTACTTATGTGTGCAATATAGATAGACTATGATGTGTGCTTCTGTTCAAAAAAAGCACTGTGTACAAACACATGTGTTACGATGATCCCGAGTCCGCTCTTAGGATCGCCAACATGGTGTTCTAGAACCATTGGCTCATATTAGTAGAGATGACCTGAGAGTTTTATGTACCTGAGCATCGGGAGCTCTTGCCGAAGACTTGGGTGTACAAGTTGTTGACCAGAACCAACACGCAGGATATGCCTATGGCGAGTGAGTCACTCGCAATAGGAACGTAGCTGTGCCTAGTAACAGTCCAATTTAATATAATGTATATCCAGAAAACTAGTTACTTAGATTGAGTGTAGGGCAATCTTTCTAGTGGGCTTTCTCCAAACATTTTCGTACTCAGTGCAGCAGCACCTAGAGTCGAACTCCCATATCAAAACAGTGATAGAATACGATCGAAGTAGCACGCTTTCTGAGAGAGCTACCGTATATAGTTAATGTTAACAGCATGGATAGCATGGATAGCTGTATATAGTGGCTAAGTTCATCAATTCCGTGTGACTCAACTTAATCAAGGGTGCTTTTGGTTTGATTTACCCCCTTCGATTTCACGCGCAGGGCCCAGTGCACTATTGCTCATAATCAAACTATGAGTACGCGACAATACCAGACCTTCATCGGGCTATTATGGAAATGCTTCAGTCTACCATGTACGCGAGAAAGCTCGAGAGGTTGCTAGAATTTTACACCACCTGTCAAGTTCCCGCTCAGCTGTTTGGGGCAGGAGGTTTGGGTAAAGTGCTCAGAATAGGCAAACTTTCATTAGTGATAGTCGATCTAATGGGGAAGAGGGTGCAAGTATGAGACGGATTTCCGTAACTTGATAAGAGTACGAGCACTATGCCGGTCACCTTTGAGAGCGGTTTTGGGTTCCCCCAATCAGAAAGATTATATTGTGGTAGATTTTGTTAAGCATGTTCGTGCTATACTTCAAGCGTCAAGCTTAGACTGTTGTGATATGGTTCAATCATTCAATAGCTCAGTCACTGTGCCAACCGAAACCAGGAAGACAACCCTTGCAGCCGGTAAATTCACAACTGGCTTCACGTTCTCGAAACCTGGAGTTCATCGGAGCATTCGATGACAGGTCTGTTGGCGGTGATGGTGCTCATAACTTCTTTCTCCGCCAAATTCAGGGCTGTGCTGAGTAGGCTGTAGCTAATTCATAACACTATGCAGACCTTGCAAAACGAGCAATTTAGATGGCGTCAACCTCATACACCCCGAAAACCGGAGTAAGATATACGGTGATTGCGATAAAGGATAACTCCCACGACCCTTGCTTATCTCTACATGGGTAGTCGGGCCCGATTCTTTCTTGACCCCCCAGCTTAACGTCGCGAGCTTTGGAGATTGGAATGGATGTAACGTCGCTGTCGGATAATTTATGCCGAGATCTCCCCCTCACCTTGCGCATTTCGGTCGATTGATGGATGGTTGAATAATAATTAGCGGCAATCTCGTGGGAACAATGGCACCTCAGGTCATTCGTAGCCATTGCGTGGTTCATGAGTACGGTGGCCCACTCGGTTGCATTCGAAGCAACGATCCAGAACTGGGGGGTCGCCAGTCGCCTGAATCCCCGCTCATATAAGTCCTATCACTTAGCATCATGGGGAATTCGCCCATGACGCTTTTAGAGGTAGCCGAGGACGTCTTTTGGCCGATATGACATATTCTAAGATCACTGAAGTCATTGCGACTTTGGTTGTGTGGTTTTCTATTGTTCAAGGACAAGCCGTCCGGTTCAACAATCCAGAGGGCGTAGACATATGGTGTGGCAAGGCCTATCGTGCGGCGTAGGTCATCTCACCCAATGTTGCTGATAGCTCTCGATTTAACTCATCTCGCTCAACAGAGATTCCTCCTTTGATCCGGGCGGATGGTTTCCTGAGCCTGCCATCTCGGATGTCCCTCTGTTGCGACTCAAAGTACGGCCGCGCCTCAGCATCTACCTGGAAACCGATTCAACTGCTAGCCTTCTCATCGACGCCGCTGTCTCAAAACAGGTCGGATCACCACTTCCTCTTGGGCTTGGACAAACCTCTTCGATTTCGTCGCCGAATCCCTTGGCCATTGAAATATCTCTTGGAAACGAAGTGCTCACAACACTAGAGATTGCTCTTGAGTCGCGAGACAATGAGGTGTCTCTCGCAGTAGGTTCCTTGGTCCCCCGTATGGCGGCCTACAACATCACAATCCGCGCAAGGCTAGACTCGACACATGTCTACGAGGCCTGGACCGAGTTCTCTTACCTGCCTTATCCGGAAGATTACGGCAGCGTAGCCCGCATCGATAATCTTTATGGTGGACTCTTGGCACAGCGAGGAAAGGAAGCACAATGGGATGTCATCTTTGCGTACACTTACTACAGTGAGAATGCCCTTTTCGTTTCCCTGGACACTTCGCTGACTGTCTGCAGCACAATGGACTCTTTATTGGAACGACAGCGTCGATACACTCAACGAGTTTGCCGCCATGGGATATAATGTCATCCACATTGTTCCTACAGGAAGCCTCGGTGAGATCCCATTCCCTTGGGACGAATTTGAGCCGTATCTACAGCGCGCCGATGAGCTAGGCCTCTATCTTCGTTATGACGTCCTATGGACCTGGCCCAACCTCACAAACATGATTGACCAAGTCACTCGTTTGAGAACCCATCCGTCCATTCTGCTGTGGTATCAGAGCGATGAAGCCGACGGTAAAGCAAACCCCGCCAATTCGACCGGGCTTGCCTACGAGCAAATCAAAGCCATTGACCCTTACCACCCTGTCTCCCTCGCTCTAAACTGCTGGGACTTCCACTACGCGGAGTATGCCGCTGGCGCTGATATTGTCATGAGTGACGTTTATCCAGTGGCCATTAATGCAACATTCTCGACGGTCTACGGCACGGAGTGCAATGCCACATACGGTTGCTGCGGGTGCGACGATTGTGAGGGCAAGTTCGAGGACATATCGGTACGGCTGGACGAGTTTTATCGTCGTGATGAGATACTAGGATGGCAAAAGACACAGTGGTTCGCCCCGCAGGCATTCGGCAACGAGACATTTTGGGCGCGGTACCCGACGGCGGATGAGGAGGTCGTGATGACGCTCTTGTCGGTAAACCACGGTGCGAAGGGCATCGTTATGTGGAATTACCCGGCTACGGATGAGTTGGAGAGTGTGACGAGCAGCTTGGCTGGGCTGTTCACGGATGAGACGGCGGTCGGGTTTTTGCTGGGAACCAAGAGAACGCAGGATCTTGTGGTCGAGGGGGCTAACAGGGTCGACGCCGCCGTGTGGGTGGACAGCAAAAAAGGGCAGGCTTTGATCAGTGTTGTGAGCCTCGGCTATGAGGGGATCCAGGGAGAGATTAGAGTCGTACTTCCGAAGAGTGTCGAGGTTGACAAAGTCGTCAAGGTTCTTTGGGGGAACGTTGTTTGGAAGCTGGGTGACGATGGCTTGGTCGCAACGGAAGGATTGCTCGGACTTCAGACTTCTGTCATGGTCGTTGATCTATTGTGATCAAATATTCTCTTCAGGGGATCGTGTGTCCGTGCTGGATTCCTGCAATACATTCAGGCCTTCCCCTACCGACAGATAGTCATACCCTTCTGAAGTCCCAAATCGCAAATAGCTCAATAGCAATGAGTTGGCCCGCCATCTCTGTTTCCAGAGACGATAAATGGCATCATTATATCGACACGGCACTGTACATTTTGGTCTCCCCAAAGAAGTCCTCTTGGGATAACGTAGCTGAGTCGGGCGCTAATCTAGGTACTGAGTACACAAAGGACCTCATTGTCAACATTAAAGCAGGGATAGGTGACCTAAACTTCAGCGAGATGTACCTAAGAGATTCAAGTACAAGTCTTTCTGACATGACTAGAACACTGAGAGGGGGTATCGCTATAGTACCTAGGCTGCAAAGTCAAGTACATCAGTATTAAGTATCGTTCCACTCTTGCTATTACAAACTATGAAGCTTGATTGTGATGGAGTTGTTGGTCTCATAGGTAGGGCAGGGCATGAAATCATGTATACCGGGTATCCGGTTGAGGCATTCAACATTTTAGGTTCGCCGTATACGTTACCAGTCGAAAATCAAGGCGGTTTATTACGACTCATTCAGAATATATTTATGTTGTAGATATAGCGCCTGATAATCGAGGACGTGCAGTACGTTAAAGTTGATAAGCAACTGCCAACTGGTAGGTCGATGGAGGAGTTTCGCATAAATAAACGGATAGGACTTGGCTCCAAGCGCAGTTACCGACCCATATATGCAGAATGCGTCAGGCAAGTAGTAATATAGTGCCAGGAAGGCTTGTTGTTCCCTTCGCGATCCCTCTTCGTCCACCTGCCTTCAAGCGAAGGTACTTAAACTAAACCCCAAATCGCCCAGGCTATCGTAGTAATAGGTCAATCATGTATGATGCAACTAGGTTGCGAAAGATCGGCTCCTCTCAGTCAGCTCTCAAAGGAAATTATCATGTGGAGTGACTTGAAGCTAAAATACATGTACTTGGCTTAATAGAACAACGTACAACACATTGCTTTGGTACTTATCCTCACAACATCAACTTGCTCTAAGTTGGTGAGACCCTTATGCATCCGCAGGGTCACGTGATGGGTCACGTGAACTACTTCTTTGCCACTGCCCCTCGACACCTCGAAAGAAAGAACAATCATCTTCCTTCATTGATGGGTGGGGAGGGAGGAATTCACAGCCGAATGTTGTCGCGCGTACGCTGGAAACGGGATTGTCGCTTGCTCGCTGTCGAAATTGCGCACACGGAACAAGCTGAGCCGGAAAGGACAATTTGCTACCATGAGCTGAATAACAATTGGACGATCAATCTCCCACCTTCACCGTCCCTCGAGTCCGTGTTCGTCCTGAAGAAACTTGACGATCTTCCCGCGGTCCCATTTGTTGGCCCGAAATCTCACTTGAATCGCTACCAGCTTTTGTGCGCAAAGATGGCCAAGAAAAAAAACAAGCAGACGGCGTTGGACGAGTTCGGCGAGGGTATGCCTGGCGGAAGCGCATCGCAAGTCTCTTCAAACGGCTCAGTCAAGGACTCGGCTGCTAAGAAGGCTGCAAGCGCAATTGCCGATACAGCTCCTGCGCTTATCATATGTCGCAATAAGTCCGTCCTTTCCCCCCCATGGATCGTTCCTCGGTTGCCCCGTCGGAGCAAAGGCAATGCGCCATTGGCGTCAGCTAGGACGGAAAACGCCCAACGAGATACCCGTCACTAACAGAGATTGCGCGGCAGGCATTGGCGCTTCATTTCCTCCTTTCACGGTCCATGGCTGCAGATGCCCATCGAGATACTTGAAACCATCGCGAATATCAATTACAACACCCCGCGACCGCGTCCGATCGATCCCGCTGTATTCTTTGATCTCCTCAAGATCCGCCGGCTGGTGGACGAGGCCACCAACCTGGCCGTCCGGGCGGCCAGCGATATAGCCTCGCCGACGCTTACGAACATCCATGGCGGACTCAATGGGCACATGTCATCGCTGGGCTTCGGGGTGGGTAACGGTCACGGTACAAAGCTGAGCAAGGAGCGCAAATTTCGAATGAGAGAACAGGCGAGCCAAAAGCTCTCCCGCGCATACCGTCTGGACGAGATCGCTTGTAGTGTTGCGACCATGCAAGGCGCTTCGCCCCTTGAAGAGATTGGGTCTCTTGTGCTGCAACGCAGCAAGGATGACCCGGATGCCAAATACGTTCATTTTTTCCACGAAAAGATACCCTCGCGACAAATGGCCGAGTGCACCAGCTTGCAGCCCCTGGACGAGGTCATCTCGGCGCGCCCGACGGAGGGAGAGGCACTGCGAACCAGAGCTACGGTCCGAGTATTCAAGGACGACTACGAGGGAGCGGCGCAGGACCTGAGCACGGCGCTGCAAGTGCAACGTTTCCATCAGCCACTGCACAAGACGCCATCGTCCCAGGGGTTACAGCTTGTCAACGGATCGCGCAGAAGCCAGGACGTGATTCTGACAGAGGAACAGCAGCCCAGCAGCTTGGAAACGCAATTGCTCTTTCAACGTGCCGGAGTATACTTGACCATTGCCTGCCAACACGTGGTTGACGGCTTACCAGCGACTCCTGCGAATGGAGAGACGGCACGGGCGAACAACGTGAATGCAGCATACGAGCAAGAGAATGGACCAGTGGTCGGTGAGAAGGTCCGGGAACCCACGGCGGCAGACAAGGAGGAAGCAACCAGGCGGCTGGAGCATCGCAAGCTGGTCAAGACATACGCCAAGAGAGCGCTTCGGGATTACATGGCTTATTTGTCGCAGTTCGACTATACACCAGATATGCCCCTGAAAGTAGCGAAGGAGTTTACTGAGAAGGTCAACCTCGCCGCGAATGGCATCCGCCACCCTCGCGTCCCGGACACGGGAATTCCGCCACCCTACAAGATACACCCTCTTTCCGACCTGTTTGCTGCTGTCCCGCCTGCCGATATCCCGCCTTACCCATCCCAGGAGGTGTCACGTTCATCGGAACCGGTGAAACCAGGTAGCTTTGAAGCCATTACCTATCATCCGCTGCTGACCGACGCCCTCCATTCTTTGCTGCTTTGCCACTGCTTGGTCCAGACGTCCACCAAGGAGCTTCTTCGTCATGCGTATATGGTGGCCCGACTTGCCCGCCTCGCTGATGGGTACCCGATTTTCCAAGCAAGTAGGTCCCCAGCAAGGGCAGACTGGATCGAGGTCCTGCGGAGGGCCCAAAACTGGATCCAGATGGCCGCATCCTGGGAGCAGCTCTGCGCCCCTGCTCCCCTTCCGACGCTTGACGGACCGCTCGCCGAGCAGCAGAGCAAGACCCATCCGTCCCCCAAAGCAGCCGCCCTCGCCGCCGCCGCCATTACCAGAGACACGAGCACGTTGCCTGACGTAGGCGAGAGCGAGGAGCAGCGTAAGGAAAGGGTACGTCAGCAGGCCATCATGGATTCGTTGAACGACGATAGGGTTACCGACGAGGCCAGCCTCCGCGCGGCCATCACCGCACGCCAGAAGCGCGCCGAGGAAGACCACGACTACCTCGTGAAACTGAAGCACGGCTCGAATGGAACGTCGGCGCCCGGAGGAAACGGACAAACGTCTCCCGCCTTGCGCCGGTGGAGCGTCGATGATGGGAGAGAGTACCCCATCTTGACAGAGCGCGCTGCCGCCATCGCAAGATGGGTATTGGAGGCTCCGGCTGTGAGCCTCGGGACCGCCAGGCGGAAGAAAAGGTCTGGCCAGAAGAAGACGAAGGATACCACGGGGGCGGACAGTGCAGCGAGCAGTAATGTCAACCCGGTCGTCAGCGATGCTGCTCGGACGGTTGACGCGACCGCCTGAAAGTGATAGTTAGTTGAGCCAAAGGCTTGTTTGTTGACATTGCCCCAACATGGAGATGTCTCCCACGACACCCAAGCATTTGGCCACAGATAATCGATGAGCGGCCTGGGGTAATGGAAAGTCGGCCCCAGCATTCCTTGCCCGCCCAACTGCCTACCAGATTGCAGCACCTTGCCAGTGAACATGCCTCGCCAGGTCAATGGCTATAGATCCGACTTGTCAAAAGCATGCCCGTCTCAGAAACAAAGTTGAGGGTTATCCCTTGTATGACTGAGACCGTTTCCCCAAGCCCGATTCTTCTTACTTTGGGTTCTCGCCTCTCAGAGAAGATGCGTGTCCGCCTGTCTCCATAAACCCGGCGAGGTCGGCGGTGGGATTGTTAACTAGCATGGGGGTTGTGCGTGCGCATGGGTGAGTACGACTATTCCCCCCTCCCCCCCCACCGCGATCTCATTCCCCAGGGGTTGAACAAACGGGGGACACTTGTGGGAATTTCGTGACGGACTTCATTTCGCAGACTCGACCTTGCGTCCCCGGACTGTGGCATCGACTCTTGGGTCCGGGGGTAGTGAGACGGGGGAGAGAGTTGCGGAGGTCACGGTGCCAGGAGTCGCTGTGATAGTTCCAGATGTGGATTCAATGAAGATTTGAGACAAGCATCAGCAAATACACACACCCCGTCGAGATTTGAAAGCGATTGTGCTGTTCATCATTTTCGGCCCAAATTGCCCGCCATGTTTTCTCACCAGGCTACTAGGACTCGACGGCAGGGGAGTGCCGTCTGCCAAGGACCTGCAACCAAGCGGTTACGATGCTTGAAGGCCGGTGACAATGGGCTGGATGATGGGCAAAAGGGTTGCGATATCAAGCGCATGCATGCCTCATGGCTCTCAGCGGGCTTCGGGTGGCTTGCATCGCCAACGCGGGATGCGCGGAACGGGAACGGCCATGCTGCTTGGCTGCCCTGATGGTCCAAGGTAAATACCGAAGGGCATTCTGACATGAGGCTTGTACCGTCTGATTGTGAGTCTCTCACGATTCATACCATACCACACGTCGCTGATGCCAAAACCCCGCAAGGCATCTCGGCACGCGCAGCTTTCTTCCACGGCAACCGCGGTTCTGTGGCGGCCGAATCCGTCCCATTCACGTCGCATTGGAACCGGACCGTCTACGAGATGACTGCAGGGCTGATGGGTCCCCGAGATAACTTGCAAGCATCGCGGCGGCATGTCTTGGGTAGTGTCACACTTTTTGGGAGTTGAAGACAGCGCGGCGTTCTTCGGCAACGGACCCAGATGGGTTTCGTCAATTAACTTCAATAGAATCTTACATGCGTCAAGCAACTCCAGCCCATTCGAGTATCCGATTTGTGAATCGACAGGCGCAAACAGCACAGAGTACACCTAGAAGAGTCAATGCTCATTCCACAGGGGAGGCGTGGCCAGAGCCGGGAACCGGCATGAACTGGAAGGGGGAACGCGCATGCAACAGCCGCCATCAACAACGCCAAGCTCCCCCCCCGGAAGCGCACCCGTAGAGGGTGTGCGACAAGGGGGGACGCACCGTACCTTATCCAAAGTCGCTGAGCTCTCCGCCGATGATTCTGCGACTGCACAAACAAACCCGTGGCGGTTCGCGGGCGAGTCGAGTGGAGGGCTTGACGTTGACAAAACAAGCGTTTGCCCAGCCCAGATCAGACCACTACGCCGTGGTCTTGGGGATGTTTGGCGGGCTCACTTGCAGATCCCCTGTCCACTGTCAGGGTTATGTAGCGGCAGGCAGAACTCCTATTGGTGGAACGTCCTACTTGGGGTTTCTCCGCAAGTCCGGACGCCTCCCGGGTGTGGGAGAACAGCGTCCAGGGGCGAAGACGAGAGAGAGAGTCTGTACCACGCCAAGAGACGTGCTTCTGTCGCCGCATCTCTTGTCCCGCAGCTCGACTCGTGTTGCCCGCGGATGTGTGGACGGGCGTGAAGATATCATATCTGACGACATGTACCTGCGGTGATGGCTTCGACGAAGGGGAACCTCTGGAATCGAAGCGCTGATACCATGCATATGTTCGGTGCCTCGCCTGACAGACATCCACCTCCGCTCCCCCGAAGCCGACGCTAGCTAGGCCAGACAGGGTTCCCCGAGAGTTATGGCGAAGCGTCCGGCCCATCTCCGGTCTCTGTTTAGCCATTTAATCGTATCTCAGACCGGGGGACGAGGGGAGATGGGAACTTGAGGGAAAGGATGATTGAGTTTCTTGCGGGGAATATAACTACTGTACTTGGACGGAGACCGGCCGATGTCCTTGTTGAGCCTTTAAAGATACACGTCCCAGCTTATCTATCCTCCTTCGGCCGACTGCTTGATTACGGTTCCTCACCTCCTCTCAGCTGGAGCTGCCCGACCACTCTCCTCTCGTTTCTCTCTTGACGTTGTTCTCCGTCCCCCACCCCCACGCCCTCTGTCTATAGGTTGTCTTACAGCAAGATCGTCAAGATGGCTCCCACCGGTAAAAGGGTGTACAACTGGTGCGACGACCTCTAGGCTCTCTCTTCCCCACGCCTCCGAGGCTCTGGACCACGAAATGCTGACCATGGCAACGCAGGTACATCTCCCTGGTGGCCGCCATGTGCATGGTGCTCTACGGGTACGACGCGTCCGTCTTCAACTCCCTCCAGGGCTCCCAGAACTGGCTCGCCTGGGTTGACGTCGACCCTAAAAAGGACACTCAGCTCTTGGGCCTCATTAACACGGCCTACACCATTGGCGCCATTGTTGCCGGCTTCTTCATCGGCGGTCCCGTCGTGAGTGACCCTCAACCACCCCCCCCCCCCCCTCAACCCCCCATCCCCTCGTTACGCGCACTGCCCCGTCGTAGACCTTCCTCAAAGCTGCCGGCCAGCTGATAAGCTTTGTCACAGGCTGACTACCTCGGGCGCCGCTGGGGCATGGCCATCGGCTGCATCGTCACCATCGTCGCGACCATCATGCAGACCTTCACCCCTCACCACCAGATCGGCGTCTTCATCGCCGGCCGCGTCATCATCGGTATCGGCCAGGGCATGGCCCTGACCGCCGGACCCGTGTACATCGGCGAGGTCGCCCCCTCCGAGATCCGCGGCCACATCATGACCTGCTGGCAGATGTACTACTCAGTCGGCTCCTTCATCGCCTACTGGATCAACTGTTCGTATAAACCCTCATTTCCCCCTTCTCTCCCCCTTTTTTTTGTGTCTCATAGCAGCTATATGCGCGTGACGCCGCCACGAGGCTAACATACCGACTGCAGACGCGTGCTCCAAGCGCCGCGAGCAGCTCGGCGAGTGGGACTGGCGCATGGTCGTCATCTTCCAGATGCTAGTCCCCATTATCATCGTAGCCGCCCTGCCCTTCCAGCCCGAGAGCCCGCGCTGGCACATCCAGAAGAACGGCAACGTCGAAGCCGCCCGCGCCGCCCTGATGCGCATCCGCGACACCGAGCACGAAGTCGAGGAGGAGCTCCTCCAGATCCGCGAGGCCATTGAGTACGAGAAGGAGGCCATCAGCCGCAGCAGCTACGCCGCCCTCTTCCGGGACCCCTCCGTCCGCAAGCGCCTCTACCTCGCCTTCGCCCTCAACGTCGGCCAGCAGCTCACGGGCCAGGGCACCCTCAACTCGTACTCGACCGCCATCTACAAGAAGGTCTGGCCCTCCACCGACACCATCAACCTCATCAACGCCCTCAACGCCACCATGGGCATCCTCTTCACGCTCAACGCCATGTGGACGGCCGACCGCTTCGGTCGCCGCTGGCTCTTCCTCGTCGGCGCCGCCGGCATGGCCGTCTGCATGCTAATCGTCCCCATCGTCGGCCTAAAGACGCCGACAGCTGCGGACGGGACCAAGAGCGAGCCCGCCGGGATTGCCATCGTCTTCCTGCTCTTCCTATGTAAGCCATCGATTCCGTCTCGTGTCCCAAAAAGGAGAGGGAAGGGGGGCAGAAAAGCAAAAAGAGAATCACCGTCAAGCTAACCACGGCCCCGCAGTCATCTTCTTCTATAAGCCGACCTGGGGCGCGACGACCTGGATGTGGACGGCCGAGATTTTCTCCGTCAACGTGCGCGCGCAGGCCGTCGGAATGTGCTCGCAGATGCAAAATGTCGCCAACACAATCTTCCAGCAGTTCTTTCCGACCTTCCTCGCCAACGCGGGCCTCAGCTGCCTCTTCTTCTTCATGGCCATGAACATGGTCCTCGGTGCCTTCGTCTACTTCTGCGTCCCCGAGACGAAGCAGGTCCCGCTGGAGCAGATGGACGCCCTTTTCGGCGGCGTCGACCACACCGAAAAGGGCGGCCAGATAATGGGCGCTGAGGAGTCGGGCGGCGGCGGCCATCACGGGTCGGCCATCACCGCGGGGAGCAAGAACAGCGCCGAGGTGCAGCAGTCCGAGAGGGGGCAGGGTGTTTGAGAGGGGCGTCGAGTGCATGGTTGTAAAGTGCGTGATATTCAATACACATTGATGTACTATTATTATCGAATCACAATACGAGAGAAGTTTGGGCCTTGGCTACAGGAAAAATATGAAATTAAGCCGAATCCTATTTGCAGGCAACGATGCCTAGTGACATAAGAATACATGGGGAATACTGAGCTATCTATGTGCAGATCGAACCATTTTCTTTCAAAACTCCATCGGCTCACATGGATGGGCCGCCCTGTCCTGGAGAGCCAGGCATCGTCGGCCCCGTCCCATCGAACCATCTGTAATGTATCACAGGTTGCTGAGACTGAGACTGTATCATGCCTTGCATATGCATCTGAGGTGGGCCCACGAGGACTTGAGGGTGAGGATGGGGAGGGTAGGATGGATGTTGAGCATGTGAGGGTCCTTGAGGCATCGGGGGAGGCTGCTGGCGTTGTTGGTAATGTTGCTGTTGAGGTTGTGGTTGCGGTTGATGGTGCTGGTGGTGCTGATGGTGCTGATGTTGCTGCTGTTGTTGCTGCTGTTGATGTTGTTGATGTTGCTGTTGATGTTGATGTTGCTGTTGCTCATGTTGCTGCTGCTGCTGCGGTACCTGCCCCTGTTCCCTCATCTGTCGGCGAACCTGCAGCCAGGAGAAGAGTTCCGAAGATATGGATTCAAAGGTCGTCTTCAACTGAGAGGCGATATCCCACCGCTGGGAACACGTGCCGAGCGTTTCAAAGATCTGCTGCAGGCATCGTATGCTTCTATCCAGGCTGTCTTCGCCACCAATAGGGCGGTGCGGAAGGGGCGGCGGCGGCGCCGTGCCTGGACGGGTAATGGGCGGGATGATTCTCTGCTCAGAGATGAGCAGCTCACGGGCATCATTCAAGACGGTGAGAAACTGCATGGCCACGAAGTAGACCTTGAGAGCATCCAACGAGGTGTAGAATGCCGTACTTGTAGCATTGTGAATGACGTTGTGGATGGTGTTCATGTAAGAGATAGCGTGTTCGAAAATAAGCTTCCGAGAATAGTCAGTCAGATGGGGTGACCGATCACTAGGTGTGAGGCAGTAAATGTAGCTGTATCTCAGCTCGAGCTCAAAAAGTTCACGGATGCCGGACGAAAGGTTATCTGGCAACGACTCGTGCCATTCCCTCATCTCGAGACACATCTGCCAAATAAAAGAGGCAGCATCGGGGAGTGACGCCGAGTCTGCCTGAAAGAGCATTTGATACCATTCTGATTGGAGGCGCCGGAGCTGGAACAGCGCCAGAGCCGAGTCTGCCGACTGGGGGCCGGTGATGGGCCCTGCAGATAAACCGGAGTTGCTAGGATACTCAACATTGATCGAGTCGTCGGTGAAGGAAAACGACCTGGTGCGGGTCATGCTGATAGTTCTACGAGCAACGTCAGAGTACTGTAAAAGATCTTTGGTGTTCGATGGCGGGGACTTACCTGTCGAGAGCGTAGACGCTGTAAAACATCCTCCTCCTAAGATCAAGCGCAGCCTTGTCAGGGACTTGTAGCTGAGGCGGGTCCTGATGGAACCCTAGATCGACCACCGCCCGACTTGCAAAGCCGATCAAATACCAGCTGTCAAAGTGGCTGGGGTCGAGCATTGAGAGTTGCGTGAAAAGAATGAGTGACTGGATTTGGGTAGGATAACCCGGCATCAAGGCCTTATCAGCAAAGGGGAGCGCGCGGGCGACGAAGTCAAGTCCGACACGGTAGTACTTGTCTTGCTTGTCCCTGCATTGAGCGATATATCCAATAGCAAGAACCATGTACAGTAGCCAGAAATCAGCATCTTTAAGACGCTCCTTGACCCTCTCGTCTTGCTGGTAGACATCGTCGAGAACTGTAAGCAGATGCGTCTCAGAGAAGGAAGGAAATAATGTGTAGATGTTGGCCATGTAGTACTGGACCGTGGTAAAGGCCTCAGCCCTTGTCGGGAAACTGTCTTCCGTGGGGTCGGGGACCTCGTCATTAGTTGCGGCGGCCAGTACCAGTCGAGCAAACGTCATGCCGCTCACCGATGGCTCAAAATCACGAGTCGTTGCATTGACGGACCTGTAAGATGTCAGCGCTGATGGAACGGCAAGTCTCACCCAACAGTAGCGTACAGAAAGCCAAAGTCAGACACGAGCGAGTTGACATCAGAGTCCTCCCTCTTACGTGCAGCCTTGCGATGAATGGCAGCTCGAATGTTGGCCAGGGAGTCCTTTCGGTCTGTGGGTGCCACCGCCTCATCGACATCATGGAGGCTGACCGACGCCTTGCGCGACCTGGCAAATGCCAATCGTTTTTCCAGCTTCTCGACTCTGAGCTCCAGGGCTGCAACATAACTGACATGATGTTAGTTGGATGCAAGCCCGAGAGAGATTCGGGGCAGATCAAATTACCTCCTCTCTTTGCCCCTGGCGAACTGGTCGTTGGCGCTGGAGCACTCATTCTCACGGCCGGCCTTCTCACAAGCAGTGCAGGCAGGTAGTTTTCCATCACACTAAGATGGCAGGTCATGTGTTAGCAAGAGCCCGATGCAATGATTCATCAAGGCTGAGGAGCTGACGAAGGGATAGATACCTTGACTTTGGCGGCTCGACCTGTGGGGCAAGATTAGCCTCGCATGAGACAGAAGCAGTCAGCCGCGATCATGACGACTCACATCGCGAACAGGCCGAGACAGGCCGCGATACCCGCAACAGAGGGTTATCGGAGAAGCTGGAGCGCGGCATTGCAGCGATTAGAGGCGATGGGAAGATCGAGGTGCCGTGGCCCGAGGCCGCGCTATCTAACTGCTTTTGAAGTTGACGATGAGTCGTGGGAGGTGCACGGGGTCGGACTCGAGAGCGAGCAGCTAGCTTGCGTGTCCTGTCGCGGCCAGGAGGCCAATGAAACCCTAAAAAAAATGTATGCAATGCACGTCTGCTCAAAGGGGGGATTCCGTGTGGCGAGTAACACGATGACGGGGGCGGAAAGATGGATGATACGTCGTTGATATCAATCAATGCGGGCGGACCTTGGGCCGGGCGGCGGTTGAAGAGACTTTGTGAAGTCGTCGGGGTCGAGATAGGCGAGCGAGTCCACGTGTGCAAATAGATGGGGCTAAGCGCGGGCTCCGCAGCTGGATGCGCGTGCTCGCAAAGACAGCAAGTGCGAGGCAAGCTAGTTGCGGCTGTCGAAAGATCAAAATCAGAATGTGACAAGCTGATCTGCGGTGCAGAAGTGCAGCAGAAGACGGCGTCGCAGCCAGGAGGGACACCGCTTGAGAGGTATGTATCTGTATCAAGGCCCCAGACAACCAACCATCCGAGACGAGACGGTTGCGCGCGCGCGCACGCGAGTCGCTCACAACCCGGCTGCCCTTGTTCGTAGTGTAGCGTAGCGAGCGCTGCCGCAACGCCCGTGACGAGTATTCTGTATGGAGCTGACGAGGGCGAGGAGAGGCAAGGCGAGGCGAGGCAAGGCAAGGCGAGGCAAGGCCAGACCAGACCAGACCCAACTAGGCAAAAGGCGAGACACGGAAGGGCAGGGAAGGGCAAGCGACGATGTGGTTTGGGATTGGTAGGTATGCCATGCTGTAGTGACAAGTAGCTGTGCTGTCCCATCAGTTGCCGATTGTATGAAGTCTGTGCACCCCAACCGGTACCGGAGTGGACTCGGAGCAGGTACGTACTGCTGTGTAGGTAAGGAGAGAGGCAGGTACGAAGTACAATCAATACCTTGGTAGTTTCCCATCTACATAGTACCTGGCAGTGTAAGGGAGGTAGTTACCCATCAGTACAAGTACGTGTATTACTGTTGGGAGATGGGCAGCACAGTCGAGTACCTACACACACATGCACACCGCACACGCACATTTGGTACCCCTTCCCCTCTCTTGTGCGACCGACTGAACGTCGAGGCTTACCCCGCCTGGGCCGGCTCCGGCTCCATTGAAATGCCTGACAAAGACTGACAGAAGTTGGGTGGGTGGGCTCCGGTGGGTGCGTGCAAAACGCCCCTGGCCCCTGCTACTGCCTTGCCAGATAAAACCCCCATTTTGACCCCTCCAACCCCCCCTGGCCGGGTGATGCCACCACTTACTTGCTTATCGATGGATATTGAGCCCCCAAGGGGTTTCAGGGATCTCTGTGAACTAGCTCTGTTGCATAGGCGGTTGCCGTCAAGCTGCTGTTCGGCCCCTCCGACTTTAGACGAGGAATTGGGATACATCGCGCCGACATGCTAGATTGAACTCGGCAGATGCAATGTTCTGGAACAAAAATAGAAGGTCACCGAACGCGAACGCGAGGAGACGTCGGCAAGGGGGGGGGGACAGGGCCAACAAGCCGGGTACTTGCCAACCTGACAGGTTCTGCTCGGACTCGTCTCGCTTTCAAGAGGGCACCGACTGTGCTTGCTATCCAGTCCCGACCTTGATGCCCATGGTGAAGCTACCGTGATGTAATTGGCTAGACATCACATATCCATCTAGTTGAGTACAGTGTGCGAAGCCAAAGGCGTATTTGATGCCGCCTGTGCCTACCTAGTTGGGCCCACGCCTCTCATGTCATCAGATGACTTGCTGGCGCAATGCACGACATCCCACCGTGTTGATATCACCCTTCGGTCCCTAAATCCATGACCGTGAATTCGGACGATGGGTGACTAGAGCAGGTGCCTGTCACCCCTTACCAAGAGAGCGGACGGCTGCCGGCTAGCCAGGCCGGCGTCGTTTGGGAAGCAGCGGTCCAGACCTTGGTGGACAACGCTGACCATCTGGCCAAGGCCAAAACCGGCAAGCGTTCTTGGGGCACCCCCTCCCCAAAATTACATGAGATAATCGGTCGGTTCGGGCAGCGCGTTTGCGTCGTAGTGACCGACATGGGACGTACAAAAGAGAAACAAAGAAGAATCCAATTGAAGATTTGGAAGGTGGGAAGGTAGGGAAAAGGACGGGACAAGATTAAACCCTCAGAGAAGAAGAAGCAGAAGAAGAGGAAGAAGAAAATACCCATCGCAATCATGGCGTAAACGGAGCACCCACCATGGGAGAAGCATTGAGATGCATTGCGGCATGAGCGGAAGTCATCTGCCCACCCTGAACTTGGAGGTCCATGACAATGGCATCTCCATGCAAGGCACGACGCTGTTTCCGCCCCCAAGGCTATAATATAGTATTTTGAAACTTTGCAAGCCGCTGTTTATTTGCGCAAATTTCCTGCCGTCTTTCTTGGGGAAGCTTTTTTTTTTTTTTTTTTTTTTTACGTTTTTTCCCTTCCCCTTTCTCTTTCTCTTAGCGGCAAAGATCATCCGTGAGATTTCGCGAAGTAAGCAGCGCACGGTGAGGATGCCCCTGGCACTATCCTGTGGGGTTGTAGTCAATCGAGGCAACACTCGATCTTTGTACGAATACTTTGGTCGAGATCTGAGCTGACAAGGCTGGCTGCCAACTCGCAAAAGGGCAATGTCGCTTCCACCTAGTCTACTTGTAGACAGAACCAGGGCTGTGTCCAGAAAAAGCTTTCCATGCAACGGGAATCGTTCAGAATGAGGTCTAGGGCGGGGCAGCCGCCAGTAGTCGATGTTGTTTTCAGGTAGTGTACGGATAGGTAGGTAGGTATATCTAGTACCTAGCGTAGCGTGGGTGGACAGAGCCGCGAGTGGGCGGACATGCGCGGGTCAAGAGACGGTGTGACGACGGGGCAGATTCGTCCCCGACCCTTTCCCCGTTCCACAGAAGCATGCTACCTCCATCGACGCGTGGTTAACGGCAGTTAGTCATGAGTCGCCGTCATTACACTAAAGGCACATTGAGGTGGATGCAATGGGTTCGCTCTATGGGTTCGTCGCATCTCGTACGGCGGCTTCCCAAAACGCTGCTTCGAATCGAAAACAGAAGAGATGAGACATGGACGAGCCCATGAATAGAGAGCGTTAAGTAGCACCCACTTGTAGCCGTCAATGGCATGTCGGTCGAGAAGGATGGCGTTAGGCCGGCGGTGGCAGACAGAGGTCCGACCAAGGAAGATGAAATGGAATACCGGCAAGACGACAAGACAAGCCACGAATGGATGAGATATGAGATAGATGCAAATGCCAGACAGGAAGGGACGAGGATCATCACGCCAACCATGACTCTTGCTCGCATCCTCCTTGACCTAACAGCCCCCTTCCTTCCCCTCTTGCCTGGTGCCTGCTTCCTTCTCGGTATCGGTCAGGAAGGGAAAGGCCCAAACTGCCCTTCCAAGTGGGTACGTTGGCGAATCAAATGATCAGATTATCCGACAAGAGGGGGCATGGAAGGGGCATCGAAGCATATTATGGGGCAGGGCCCGCCACAACGCACACGTGCCATGAGTAGTAGGTACGTACTCCGTACACCTACCGGTAAGGTAGGAACACACCTGCTACACCTGGAGGAAGGAGTAAGTGAGTGAGTGCATGGCATTCCGTACCTGGGGAAGCTTGAGAGGCGGCCGGGACGTCGACCCGGACATACCTTGTCCGGTTGTTGGGCTAAAAACAAGGCAATGCTGAGCCATGTATCCGTACAGCAAGGAGAATGTCGGCAGCGCCATATGACTAGTCATCTTTTCACAGTTGGGTATATTCAGTCTTCAAGGCAAGACCCTCGCCTGCCAAGGCCACCTACACTCTTACATATACCTGTAGATACGACGTATTTTATTCTAGTAGTGTACATTGCTCATATCACGTATGCTTGTTCATACGTGCTCGACAACCAACGACCCATTCCGAATCCGTCAGAACCTCGCGGATCCCAATAATATCGTTCCAGGTAGTACTAACATTCGCTCATTCATAACAATTGTTACTACGACGAGTTTGTCGACCCATCTTGGTCCATAACTACCTCTGGTATGGTCCGTGCACGTGTGATGGACAATGGCAGGTACATATACTACCTATGATGAAGCAAGTTTGAGGAACTGTGCGGGCGCAGTACATGTGCATTTGCTATGTACAGGCAGTTCTGGGTTGCAAACACGACTTGCGACAGCATCTCCGAAACGTAGTGTCCGTACAGTACATGAACTACCTACCTAGCCTAGGTATCATGTTCTCGCCGGTGTCATTTCACATCCATTCCGCATTCCGTACACACATAGTACATCTAGACAAGACACCCATGATCTGTCGTCCAGTCTTAAACCTAGCTCCGCTAAGGGGGTGGGGTCCCCGCCGTAATGGTTCTGAAACGCTCGTACTGCCTCCTGGCTCCTGGTACATACCCGCGAACCTTGCCAGCTCGCTCAGTCCGCTTTCCCTGATTAGCGAATGAACAGCCAGGATGACGAGTAGACATGGGTCGGAGCCCTACGCTACCAATCTCATTACGCTAGCAAGTATACATCTGTCCACACTTTCTAGCCCCTTCAGCACATGTACCGTTGCTCAGAGCGCCCCCCCTTCCACCACCTAGAGTTTAGCATCCATCCCATCCGACCGCGGCCCTACCTGGACGGGCCTGTCACCTTCCTACCGCTGCCAACTGGGCCCTGAGAATGTGCAAAGTGCACCAATACACCACTCGCTGCCTACCTACGATGTACCTTACCTAGGTACCTAGGTACTTTGACCTAAATGTGGAACCTCGTCTTCCTGTCGCTCGCCTCCTCTTGGACGTCCCGGATAATCAACCACTTGTCGAGTCCGCGCGACGACGTAGCCAACTCCATACCTATAGTGCACGATACCCTCGAGTCTCGATTGGTCTTCATCCGCCGAATCATGAGAATTTCTGTTTGCTCTTGCGCCTGCCCGATATCCTCAGCAACGTACACCTTTGCATCGTAAACCTCACTGCTTTCGACCCCTCTGCACGCCCCGACTTCCCAAGATACCTCCGACGTGTAGAGCGAGAGACACAGAGGAAAAATTACGGGACGAAGAGCCCGAACCCGCCGATCTCCTTCGTCGTCAAGTCTTTTTCCAAATCCGCCATCTGGACTGAGGAATAGCCTCAGTCTTCGAACAGGCCCATGGACGCCTCAGCTGTCTTCCGCCATGGCCTGGGCAACATGATGCCTCGAAACCTGCCATACCATCATCATCTGTCTCCTAACCCTCCCCCGCAATTCTATCCGGGCGGTGCGCGCCCTCCCACTGCCAGTCGCGAAGATCCCGAAAGCGACGCCACTTCAAATCGCATTGCACATACTTTGACGGCTTGCTGTCGCTGTCGTCAGGTACGTAAAATCCTGGCTCTTGCACGTCCGGTCCCTCTTGAGCCGTCCCACCATACGAAACGATAGACCCAGATCACGGCTAACTTTCTCTCCTTCGTAGCGCAAGACGAGATGCGATCCTACTCTTCCCCGTTGTCTGCCTTGCGAGCGGGCCGGCTCCGTCTGCGAATACTTTGACACCACCAAAGGAAAGAAGATCAACCGCAACTATGTCATCAAGCTCCAGGAAAAGGTGCGCGCACTCGAGGCCGAGCTGCGCCAGTACACCGACGACGACAGTGACTTCTCCCATGTCGACGAAGACATTGTACGCCCTGGGGGTCTGGTTCGCTTGAATGACACCGACGAGACACCCCGTTACCTGGGCCCGAGTAGCGGCATCGCAATGACCCGGTTGCTTGTCCAAGGCGCAAAGCTCTTCACCGATTCGAAGCGAATATCCGAGTTGATACCCGAAGTTCGCGCGAGGCGGATGACGCGCATGCAGTCCATCGTTATGACGAGGGACAGGAAGAAGAGTTATCCCCTGATCAGCGCCCACCCTGCCCAAGCCTTGCCCAACAGGCCAGTCGCAGACAAGCTTGTGGATGTCTTTTGTCAGCGATGTAAGTCCTTTCTCTCCGTCACCCGCAAACGAGCCGACTGACGCCGTTACAGCCCAAGTGTTTTGGCCCACGTTGCACGAGAAACAATTCCTGGAAGATCTCGAGGCTGTGTATGCGGGAGACCAAGACCCCTACAAGAACCTGATTGTCCGCATGGTCTTTGCAATCAGCCTGCAAAAGTTGGACCCCCAGTACGCTGGTCTCGCAGATAGTTACTACTTGGCCGCCATGGAGCATTTTGAGCAGGTCGTCCGGCCAAAGGATCTGAAGTCCCTCCAGAGTCTAGCAATGATTGGCCAGTATTCCCTCCTGACACCGACCAGAACCGCGGTGTACTACATGGTGGGACTCGCCACCCGCGTTTGCCAGGCCGAGGGCCTCACGGATGAGAAGACCATCTCTGCGGGCTACTCGATAGACCCGCTGACCCTCGATATGCGCCGTCGCCTGGCCTACATCATCACCTCCATGGAGGCCGGTCTGGCGCACAGCATGGGCCGCCCGAACGGATTCTCAAAGGTGGACGACCGCATGGATGTCGAGCCGTTTGCGACCGTCGACGACGAGTACATCACGGTCGACGGCATTGGCCAAGGACCTCCGAGCGAGAAGAAGCTGGTCGCTTTGCACTTCTTCAAGATGCGCATGGAGCAGGCCGAGATCAGGAGGGTGCTGTACGAGAAGAAGCGCGACGAGCCCAGGGACGAGAATCACCCTTGGTTCGCCAAGATGGAAAGAGACATTGAGAACTGGATCGATTCCTCACCGCAGAACCCGGCGTGGTGTAGACCATGGTAAGCACAACAGTCCGGTGGTGTTGGCGAGGGACCAAGCTAATCCTCCACCTTCAGGTTCACCGGGCGATACCATCAGATGCGCATCTTCCTCTACCGCCCATCTCCGCAGGTACCCAGACCGTCTCCACGGGCCGCTGGCATCTGCTTCGAGGGCGCGGCATACATCATCAATCTTTCGAAGCAGCAGATGGAGAAGGCGGCCGTTGACATCACCTGGATCTTCCTCTTGAACCTGTACATGTCTCTCAACACGCTGCTATGGACCGTGTCCTACCCTGAAATCCGGCAAGCACACCCTAGGGAGGAAGTAGAGGAGTTGGGCGACCAGACGCTAGACATCTTGGAACAGTGCACGGAGCGGTGGCCAGGAACCGCCCAGGCTGTGCAACTGTATTCCATCTTCGTCAAGGCCTGCCTGCAGAGCTACGAAGCCAGAGACACCCCTCAAATGCAATCGTCCAGCACGTTTACCACTCCACCGTCGCTTTTCGACGGAAACTCGCCGCAGGGCTCTGAGGCTTCTGCCTCGACGGCACCTGGTGGTGGACCGTCATTCAAGGTCAACCCGCCCCACAACCCGCCTCAGTTCAACTTTGTGTTTGACGCAACGCCCGAATCCATGAATACGTATCAGTGGGATCCCAACTTCCCCCCTCACCCGACTTTCCGGTCCAACTCAATCTGGGGCTCTTCCAACGAAAACACGGGACGTCGGCTTTCTTCCACGTACCCTCCCGAGTCACCACTCGATGATTCCACCCCGCCGGCGACAACCACGCCGGCCTATACGTCGTCGTCATCGCCGCCCAGCACTATCAATAACGCGATGCCTACGCCGCCAGACTCAATGGGTGGGCATGTCGGAACACCGTCCAGTTCGACCATCTCGCCCCCGCCGATGGGAACCCCCGCAATGTCGCACTCGTCGCCCCTCGGCCTCCAGCACGGTACACCGAATATGGCCCAACACAGCACGAATATGTCACCTCCCCCGCCGCCCGTCCCGGGTCTGGGAGGCAGGGCGCATAATTATGCCCCTCTCCCGACGTCGAACCCCGCCGGCCCTCAACGGCCTCTGCCCAACTACAATTCAGGCACGGACTGGTTCGACCCGCCTGCCCCTTTCATTAACCCCAATCCTTTCAACTCGATGGGTAACAGCTTCTTTGGAGACCCTCTACCGGTCAACGGCTTGCATCCGCACAGCGCCAGCATGGGACTTGACCATTTTGGTGGCCAATCGTTCAACTGGTCGCAGGAGCGACAGGGTAGTCTTAGCCAGCAGCAGCAGATTGAGCTGATGAATGCGCTCGAGAACGAGGGCATGAGCGATATTGACGCCCTACTCATGGGCATGAACGGTGTTCCAAACGCTGGGGGCAGCAACTGGGCTCAAGCATGAAGCAGAAGGGGTCTCGGAAGCGGGAGGACAACTAGTAAGCTATATGGGATCTTGCAGGCTTTTTGCGTTTTACGATATCTTTCTTTTTTCTTCCGCGTTGGGTACGGGTCCTGCGCGTATATACCACGGAGTCTTGGAAGATAGAGCGATAGTTGTTGGTGTACGGGATTTGCGGACAGCACTTGCCGCTCGGTGTAATAGGGACAGAACTGTTAATGAATGCACTTGCGTTAGAAAGGGATGCCGGTTTACGATTACGTACCACAAGATCCATCCGCCATCATCGGGTATCGCGGCTCTGAATTGCATGGGCATTGTGGACATCATGTGCAGCACCCTGTAGGAAGGAGGGAAGGAGATTTCTCTGGCTGCTACGTCGTTCGGTACACCCGACGACGCACCAACCCAGTACCTACTGGAGCGGGGACAGGGATTATGTTTGTTTATTGGTTACAGGATGGAAGGAGAGGCTGATCAGGGTTAGAAAGTATAAGAACCTTCTGATCAGCCGTATTAGATAGAGAATTAACATGCTTCTTACTCTGATTTATCCTTCTTTCTTGAAATTATTGATTAAGAGCCTTACCTCTTACTTGACCTGGCCGACAAGTGATAACTTAGGTAATAGGGAGCTTTCTGCCCTATCTAATTAAGCCTCAAGGATTCTGATTAGTATTAAAAGCCTAATTAGACCTAAGACACTTAAGATGATTAGTTGGGGTACCTGAGTTGCTTTGAGTTGTAGGGTGTTGTTGTGTTTGTTTGCATATTATTATTACAACTAGAGTCCCTAATCACACCACTGCACGCTTTTACTACCTAGGTAGGTGAGGTAGGTGGGAGGCAGGAGCGATGGCACGTATAGTTCTGCTGCTCCTTCCCTAACTGCGTCTCGTGTGTCTGGGGAGTGTTATCTATCCCAAGCAAGGTAGGCAGGTACTTATTTTACCCACTTCCACTTTTCGCCATCAACCCTTTTCGCCCCGGAGGGTGGGAAGGGGGCATCATCTCGCAGGAACACAATACCTCATTCCATCGGAAAAGCTACGCCGCTTCCTGGTAGCTCGCGCGGATCGGCCGCGTTAGCGGAGAGCATGCGGCATTTGCACCGCACCACATCGTTCCGGGTGAACGACCAACGTTGAGGCAAATCGTTGCTCATCATCGCCTTCCTCCACGACTCACTTCTACTGCGTTCTATGGCTTTGACCCGGTGGTAAGCCCGTCTAGCAAACCTGCTCAGATTGGAACCCGGCACTTTGCTCCATGCCCATCGGTCCCCGGCCTTTGGCAGCATGTCCTCGAATCACACCCTCCCATCACAATCTCTCGGGAAACCGAACTGGGTACCAACGCGTCTTTAGACGGGCGTAATTCCTGGTCAATCCGCAGCTTCCACTCAACAACCAACATAGTCTTTGACTATGCTTTCGCAACATGGTTCGGAGCTTCTTGCCTCGGCAAATCCTAGGCCACTTCGGTCTATCGTGGATCTACTACATAGTAAAGCGGCGGCACATATCACTGACATCGACACCCCCTGACTTGGACCTGTTCCTTTATTCTCGGGAGCTGGTGGAGGCATGACGACATGCCAAGTCTCTATCGAAGCTTACGCTGACTCCGATGGGCATTTCGAGTGGAACGGCACTCATCACAAACCGCAAGACACAGGCCAATCCATTCGATGGGGTCAGGGTAGAACCAGCTAAGACAAACCCGGGCAAGATTGTGAATTGCCCTCGCGCCACACCAAGAAACACACACTCCAACCCTCACGCATCACATCATCTTCAAGTACCTCGATAGTCGATACGGTCACGAAGGGGGGAGAAACCTACGGTCCGTCTCCCCCACCAGTCATGGAAACTGACACCGCAGGCTTTCGATTGTTTGGGGAGGAAAGATCAGACCGGTTACCCGCCCGGTGGGAAAGGTTGACAATCCAGAGTTCCGGGTTTCTTCCACTGAGATGATGATCTGCTCCAGTCGGTATACATTGCAGAATTCTATCCCTTCCCACAAGTTCATCTATGCAATATCGCCCCACTGGCCGTGACTTGCGTGCTCGCGATGCACATGGCCGTCGGACACCTTGGGTTGGTCGAGTGTTTTGATTCACGAAATATGCATTGCGCAGCCTGTGACATGGGGGGAGCATTGACTTGAGTCACCGCAAGGCCAGGTAAGTTCAGCAAGCAAAACATGTTTTGTATATACTGAGGACGCCGGCGCGAGAAACACGCCGACGCGTGGAAATGTAAGAATATGTACATGAAGATGTGCGTATGCAGTCGTTTCATAGGAGATGGGTCCACATTGATTCGTCGACTCCTCTTTTATCCCCCGCACGTCTCAGGAAAGAAAGAAGAAAGAGAAGGGCGAGAGAGGTATGCATAGGTCCATTGGATCTCTTTTCTCTTGGCTGCTCTGGCGCACAAACTCAGCTTAAGTGCCCTGCACTGGGAGTAGTCCCCTGAGGACGTGTACCCGGCACTATGAGCCTGGTAGCTTGCGAAGGCAATCAAACAGCGTTCGCAGAGCTAGCCGTTTTTTATTAATGGCGCTAGTGGCACGGGTCGGACCTGATGCGCTATATTGGCCACGGACCCTTCAACGAACCGGAGCACATACAATGGTTTAGGCTGGCGGGACAATCCCCACTACGGTCGGCAAGTGCCATTAAACACGCTGGGGTAAGCGAGTAAGGCTGCTT